AGACCAGTAGACGACGGAAGAGTAAGAACCTGACGAAGAACAGAGGCAGACGGCGGCAGAGACGACGGAGACGGCGGAGCGAAGAACAGTCGTGTCGGCGCAGCTGCACCAGAACCAGCAGCTCCAGCAGCTCCAGTGCCTCCAGCAGCTCCAGTACCTCCAGCAGCTCCAGTACCTCCAGCAGCTCCAGAAGCTCCAGGCCCAGAGCCGACACCTCGAGTCCCAGGGTCTCCAACCTCTGTGTCTCCAGCAGCAGCACCCCCAGAACCAGCACCTCCAGTCCCAGGGTCTCCAACCGCAGGGTCTCCAGCAGTAGCACCCCCAGAACCAGCACCTCCAGCTCCAGGGTCTCCAACCTCAGCGTCTCCAGCAGCAGCACCCCCAGAGCCAGCACCTCCAGTCCCAGGGTCTCCAGCCTCAGTGTCTCCAGCACGAGCCCCTCCAGAACCAGCAACTCCAGCACCTCCAGTAGACAAAGGACCAGCACGACTCCGAGCTCCAGCAGCGCGACGCTGACGGCGACCGTACCAGTCCTGCAGCTGCTGTGGGGTGAGAGGCACACGGGGACGAAGGCGGCCACTCCAAGGAGACCGCGCAACAGCAGACTCAGAACCCTCAGCGCCCGCACCCCCAACGGCTCCAGAACCTCCGGTGTCAGTACCCTCAGCACCAGTACCTCCAGCGACTCCAGAACCTCCAGCGCGAGCACCCTCAACAGCTCCAGGACCTCCAGCTCCAGCGCCACCAGGACTAGGCCCTCCAGCAGCTCCTGAACCTCCAGCGCCAGCACCCTCAGTAGCTCCAGAACCTCCAGCGTCAGTACCGCCAAGCTCAGCACCCCCAGACCCCTCACACGCAGGCTCAGCACCACCAGGCTCTACACCCTCAAGCTCCGCACCCTCAGGCTCAGTACCCCCAGACTCAGCACCCCCAGGCTCCGCACCCCCAGGCTCAGCACCCCGAGCAGGACCACTCGCAGGAGGACCTGAGTCACCAGTGACCTCAACCGGCGCAGTCAAGGGAGGAGGGTCTACCTGAGAAACACCTGAAGGAGCAGGACCGGGAGCGGGGAGGGGGTCTACCTGGGGAGCACCTGGAGCAAGGAAGAGCGGCGGGGGGGGGAGCGAGGCAGTGCGGTAGGGGAAGAGACGGTAAAAGGGAACCGACTCGTCGAACGTGACGTCCTGAGACGCAAAGACACGGCGCGAGGTGGGGTGGTAAAACTGCCAACCAGGCGCGTCAGGGACAAAGCCAAGGAAGACACAGGGAACAGCGCGGGCGGAGAGCTTGTCCGCGGTGGTATCGCGGACAAAGGCACGAGCACCCCAGACCCGGAAACGCGACGCATCGCCAACCTTCCCCGTCCACAGCAGTGTGGGCGAGGTCTCCGGCAAGGAGACACGGGGCCAGAGGTTGAGCTGATGCGCGGCGTACCGGACCGCAAACGACCACAGAAAATGGGGGGCAGCCGCATGGATCATGGAGGTACGAGCGACCTCCATGACTAAGCCAATGCGGCGCTCAGCAACCCCATTCTGCTGCGGAGAGGCCGGAAGCGTGAACGACTGGGTGATGCCGTGCTCCTCACAGAAGGCTGCCAAGAGGTCGGAGGAGAACTCACCACCTCTGTCAGAGTGCAGACGCAGGACACGAAAGTCCGACCGGAACCGCTCGCGGAGCTGGAGACGAACAGCGCGGATCCAGGGGATCAAAACAGCAGGGACGTCCCCCTTGCTCTGCAAGGGGAAGACCGTGGTGTAACGCGTGTAGTCGTCGACGACCAGCAGGAAGTACCGCTCGCGGCCCTGTCCCTGGACGCGGGCTGGGCCCCACACGTCCAGATGGAGCGTCTGCAGTGGAGCCTCTGTGGGAGGAAACGAGGAGGAGTGAGGAGCGGCGCGCTGCCGCCCCTCGACGCAAGGAATGCAGGGCGGCGCAGGCGAGGGAGGGAGGGCAGGCAGGGACCTGGGAAGACCAGAGACCAGGGAGCGAGAGTGCATGCTACGCAGGCGAGGCAAGGAGGGGTGACCAAGGCGGTGGTGCCACAGGAGAGTGTCGTGCGACAAAGCGCGACACTCGCAGGGGGCCGCCAGCTGACCAGACGCAGACGCAAACGCAGACGCAGCTACCTGAGGGGACTCAGTGGTCAGTGTGTACAGACTCGAGCCAGGTGCACGGGTGAACGTGGCCAAGTGCCGGCCCGTCCTAGCACACGTACAGTGAGTCACTCGCTGACTCGCAGGAGTGAACTGGTCAACCCCCCCATCCTGGAGGTCAGCTCCACTCACCAAGTTCGTAGAGAACGAGGGGAGGTAAAGACCTGACAGCGAGCCGGACGGGACGGCCGGACACGGCAGAACCGTGGAATAGTGGGCAAGGACTGGACCCCCAGAGGGGTCCGCCAGGGAGACCGGGACTGGCCGACGGAGCGGCGTAAGTGCGGTGCAGTCGCGAAAGAAGGAGCGGGAAGCTCCTGAGTCAAGGGTGAAGGTGTGCGAGACCGCAGTGGGCGCAGTACCAGAGAGAGCAGACACAGCAGCACCTGATGCCACGGCCTCACCAGTACCTAGAGCAGTAGACGTACTAGCACCGAGAGCAGCAGCCTCACCAGCACCTAGAGCAGGAGACGCACTAGCACCTAGGGCAGCAGCCTCACCAGGGTCAGGCGGTACGCACAGGCAACAGGCACGGTCAGCACTAGTAGACAATGCATACATGGCAGTGAGAATAGCATCATAGTCAAGCGCAAAGATATCTACCCTCTGTCTATGCAGCTCCAGCCAGGTGGGGAGCTCAGCCTCGTCGCCAAACACTGTGCGCCAGTCGTCGCTCAGACGGGCGAAGCAGCGGGACTGTGTGTGACCAAGCGTCCCACAAGGCTGACCAGTCCTAGCACCTGTGCGAATGACGTACGGGCAGCGGACTGTACGCGTAGACCTGCTACACTGAGCGTACCACTCGTGGAGCTGCCGGGGCGTAAGTGTCTCACGTGGACGTCCCTGCAGCTGCAGCTGGCCACTGCCAGACGCTCCCAACTGACCAGCTCCAGGGCGACAGCTACGACGGCTACCGCGACAACCCCAGCTAGTATACCACTCACTAAGCTGCTGAGGCGTCAGAGGCTCGCGTGAATGTCGCTGGAGCTGCATCTGGCCACCTGCCAGTAGCAGTAGCGCAGGAAAGGCAGGCGCGGCAGGCAGGCAAGCAAGCAGGCAGGCAGGCAGGCAGGCAGGCCGGCAGGTAGGCAGGCAGCCAGGCAGGCAGGCAGGCAGGCAGACAGGCAGGCAGGTAGGCAGGCAGGCAGGCAGGCAAGTAGACACGCAGGCAGACAGGCAGGCAGGCAGGCAGGCCGGCAGGCAGGCAGGCAGCCAGGCCGGCAGGCAGGCAGGCAGACAGGCAGGCCGTCAGGCAGGCAGGCAGGCGCTCACCAAAGGCTGGGAGAGCAGGGCCGGCGCTCGAGTAGGCGCACGACAGCGGCGACGTCGGGGCCGCAAAACCGGCTGCAGAGCAGGGCCGAAACAGCTGGAGGGCGCTGCCGCGTCAGCGGCAGTAGCAGGGTGGGGCCGCGTCAGCGGCAGGTCGGGGTCGTGGCAGCTGCAGGGCGGGGCCGCATCAGCGGCAGGTCGGGGCCATGGCAGCTGCTGGGCGGGGCCGCATCAGCGGCAGGTCGGGGCCGAGGCAAAGGGCCGCGCGCGGCCGCGCTAGGGAGTAGCGGGCCGCGCGCGGCTCGGCGCGGGCTGTTGCGGGCCGCGCGCGGGCCGTGCGAGGCAGGAGCAGGCCTCGCGCGGCTCGGCACGAGCTGCTGCGGGCCGCGCGAGGCCGTAGCAGGCCGCGCGCGGCTCGACGCGGGCTGCGCGGGCTCGGCGCGGGCTGCGCGCGGCTCGGTGCGGGCTGCGCGCGGTTGCAGCGGGCTGTGCGCGGCTCGGTGCAGGCTGCGCGCGGCTGCAGCGGGCTGCGCGCGGCTCGGTGCGGGCTGCGCGTGGCTGCAGCGGGCTGCGCGCGACTCGGGGCGGGCTGCGCGATCTCGGTGCGGGCAGCGCGCGGTAGCAGCGTGTGTGCGGGCCCGACAGGCGTGTAGAGGCGGCGCGCGGGCCTTACGGGCCTCTAGGGGCAGCGCGCAGGCAAGGCAAGGCAAGGCAAGGCATACAAGGCAAGGCAAGGCTACGTGGGGTAGCGCGGTAACCGCAGCGGTAGGTGGGCCCGAAAAAAAAACGGTCCTACGGACCTTAGTGCTCTGAAACCATGTTAGAATCTAGCAGCAGGAAAAATGAGTGAACTAACAGGATGCAGGAGTACAAGTAGTAAACCCTAACTAGGTTGTACCCCATATGGGCTACCCCACTACAGCCTAGACAATATGCAGCACATATAGTTTGACACCACGACCCCCTGTGGCCGTATAGTCCGGGGCTCTGCGCCCGGTAGCCACAGTGTGTGCACTCCTGGGAGCACAGCGAGCCAGCTGCGACCCCCTGTCGCCGTGTAGTCCGGGTTTAGCCTGGTAGCGACAGTGCGGCGCACTCCTGCTGCCCGTGTGTCTGCAGCTTCAGCCGTCGCCTCTCATCTTCTCGCCTCCACAGTTTCTCCTCCTCCTCACTTGCCCTCTGTGATAGCCTCTAGCTTTGCTTGTATTTGTGAACCTACTGCTCTGCCTGCTTGCTGTGTTGATTGTACCCCACTTTGACTATGGGGTTGTGTCAGAATGTGATGGTTGTCTAGCCTGCAGTGGGGTACTCTATAGCGAGTACAACCCTTCTAGGGTTTGCTATATGTATCCCCATGCTTGCTAGTGAAACCCCTCTTTGCCTATTTCTCGTTTTCGCCTAGCCTGTTTAACAGCAACCTCGTATCAGATGCGTGTCGAACCGCACTAAAACGCATCCAACCGCAGTCGAACACACTGAAACGCATTTCACCACGCTCTAACCTCCTGCATCTGCCTATCCACTTCCTCCGCCGCTGCATTCCTCTTAGATCCCCCAACTCTGCCACCACCGTACTCAAACCAGGCCTAAGCGAGCGTACGAGTCACTTTGACTACCTTGGAACCGGGCATCTATCCGAGCAAACTCCTCTTCCATGCTTCTCGCGGGTTCAATCTCCTCCATCTGCCTGTCCACCTCCTCCGCCGCTGTATTCCTCTTAGAACCCCCCAACTCCGCCATCACCGCACTCAGCTCTGTTGCTATTGTGCCCATGTCCGGCCGGGCGGCAGTGCGCCTGGCAGTGCATCGCAGCGCCAGCTGCACCACGGCCAGCACGAGGTCGTCCCGAGCTTCCATGCGTGGGTCGCTGAGGCCTGGGGCTGGGCCGTTGCTGGATTGTTGGAGCTGCTGCTCCACCTGATGAGATGGGGATTGAGAACAGGGAGGGATCACGGACGCAGAGGCTCAGAATTGAGAGCTTATCATCACTTATCATACAATGCGTCAGGGTATCAAATGAGGAACAACTCAACTCACCCAGGATACGATGGTCATGGCCCAGTTGGCCTCTTCATCCGCGCCGCGGCAGAAGACACCACTTTCCAGCAGTGGAAGACATAGCATGGCTACAGTATAGAGTTTGTTAGCTTAAGGATGGATGCAAAATTAGCAACTCACCCAGCAGACGATGGTCATGGGACAGTTGGTCTCTTCATCCGCGCCCGTGGCTAGAGACTCCCCAACGGCCTGCCGGCCCGTCATTAGCTCCAGCATCACAACGCCGAAGCTGCACAATCAGGCACACAGAACAAGCAAGATGGATGTGCAGCAAGTTGCGAGTGCAGGCATTTGCGAGTAAGTTGGATGGAAAATGTGAGTGGTGGAGAAGTTATGCACTTGTTGAATTGCTCTCGAAGTGCCTCTTCCTCGTGCTCGATGGGGGTGCACCCAACAGATCAAGTGTTTGATACAAGTTTCACAGAAAACTACAGGCAGGAGTGGCAGGACGTTGCTCACCTGTACACATCAGCGGCAGTGGTGGCTTTATTGGAAGCAACGTAAGAGGGGTCCACATAGCCTGGTGTTCCCACCACTCGCGTGCTCTGCAGTGCCGTGCCCTCCCCCATCCTCACCAGCCCAAAGTCTGAAATCTTAGCCTGCACACATTGCATGTGAACATCCGAACATGTGCCAGACAACTGGTTGATGTAACTTGTGTTTGAGTTGGCTCAAAACACGTCTGTAGCACACTTTGCATACAAACACTGGTGAAAATGTGGCAGAGAACTTGGTTGATGCATCTCTTTCAAGAGACTTCTGCTTTTGCAGAACCAAGTTTGCACGCACACATGCTGCTTTTAAGCGTGGCTGCTTGCACAAGGGCGGGCAGAGTACTGTAGGCACACGTGCCAATCTTGGCGGGTTTGACGGCCCAATGCATGCACACATGTACACAATCAAGCGCATATGCACGCACTCACGTATGCACACGCACATACCGAAATGCAGACACTCACACGTCCACATGCGCACGCACGAATGCACAGACCCTCACACCCACCCATGCACCAACCCACGCACACACCCGGATGCGCACACACACATGCAGGCACATGCACATTTACACGCACGCGCACACACACACCCACACACACACACACACACACACACACACACACACACACACACACACAGACACAGACACACACACACACACACACACACACACACACCTGCATGTTCCCATCCAGCAGGATATTTGCAGGCTTGATGTCGCGGTGCAAAGTGCCAAAGCTGTGAAGGTACGGGAAGCCCCCCCTCACCCTCACACACACACACACCCACACATTCAAACACGCACCTGCATGTTCCCATCCAGCAATATGTTGGCAGGCTTGATATCGCGGTGCACGATGCCAAAGCTGTGAAGGTACTCAAAGCCCCGCGCCGCCCCTATGAGGATGTCCACCCGCTGCTGGAAAGTCAGTGGCGTGGGGGCATCTGGAGGGCACACACGTGTGGTGGGGATGTTACACAAAAAGTATGCAATTGGCATGTCTGAGTAAACCAGTCACTGGTACTCTATTGTACTCGAAGCCCCGTGCAGCCCCGTGCAAGGTCTGAGGATGTCCACGCGCTGCTGGAAGGTGAGCGGCTTGGGGGCATCTGATGGGCACGCGTGACGGGGATGGGGGGTTGAAAGTGAAAGGAGGGAGCGAAAGGAAGGCATTCAGAGAGTACAAATGTGTGTGCTCATGTTTGATAGCTCCACTCGAGGATACTGAAAGCCCCGGGCAGCCACTATGAGTATGTCCACGCGCTGCGTGTGATAAGTCAGTCGATTGTTTAGTCGACTTCAAAAAGTATTCTGAAAGCCCCGGACAGCCACCATGAGTATCCCCACGCGCTGCTGGAAGGTGAGCGACGTGGGAGCATCAGGGGGTTGGGTGGTTGAAGGGAAAGGGACCAAGGAGTATATACGTGTGTGTCCATATCTTGGTAGCTCAAGGATGGCAACACTGAGAAGGAAAGGAGGAGGTGAAAGGGATGGGAGTCAAGGCAACCAGGGAGTACAGATGAGTGTGCCCATGTGAGATCCAGACATGTCTCAGTGAGCTGCGTGCGTAAAAGGAGGTCAAGACACACCAGTCGAATCCATTCACAACAATGCATACATTCCCCCCCCCCAGTGTGAGAGGTCCCTGTTGGGCATGAGCTCGTATATGAGCTCGTATATGAGCACCTGCCCCACCCGTGTCTTGTCCGTGATGACAATGGATGCTTGCGCTTGACTCAAATCACTCTCTAGTCTCACACCAGGATCCCACACACCTTTCCCCATCCAGTGTGCGAGGTCCCTGTAGGGCATGAGCTCGTACTTGAGCTCGTAGATAAGCACCTGCCCCACCCTTGTCTTGTCCGTGATGCCTAAGGCACGTCGACTCAAAACACACCTGTTGAGTCAATATAAACCACAAGGCACACATACCTTTGCCCATCCAGTGCGAGAGGTCCCCGTGGGGCATGAGCTCGTAGATGAGGACCTGCTCCACCCTTGTCTTGTCTGTGATGCCAATGGCGAACCCTAGCAGCCGCACTAGGTTGGGGTGGTGCTTGGAGGCCATCTGGCACACCTGCAGGGGGGGCAAGCAGTGGAGGAAAGAGGATCTCATGATCCTACAGAATTTTTAGTCGACTCAATGTCACCTGCTGGTTGGGGTGGTGCTTAGTGGCCATTTGACACACCTGCCAGGGGCAGCACTGGAGGAAAGATTGCATGCTTGTATGATCCGTTGCTCGCCTTGTCACCATCTAGTCGTGCCAACGTTACCATACTTCTTGCTGACTCGAGAGTGTCGGAGTAAATTGTAACAGACACGGTGGGAAGGGCCTTTAGAACTGCATCACATCACACACCCACCCACACGCTCACTCACTCTCGCATCCTTGGTGTCAAGTCGTTGGTGTTGAGATGAGCTTGGCGTGCTTCACATCCCACGCGTAGAGCCATCAGCAGGAGTGGGCATTTGCAGAGCCACACCTCTCCGCACCACACCGCACCGCACCACACCGCACCACGCACCTCGGTGTCAAGTCGTTGGTGTTGAGATGAGCTTGGCGTGCTTCACATCCCACAGCGTGGAGCCATCAGAGAGAGAGAGAACGTTTGTGGCGCCTCAAAAGACACCTCGACACATCCACATCCGGACCACACCACATCCACTCATAAATAGCCGCACACCTCGGTGTCAAATTCGTTGGTGATGGGCTTGGCGCGCTTCACAGCCCACAGAATGCTGCCAATCAGCAGCAGAGGACGCTTACAACGCCTCAAAAGGCACCGCACTGCACCACACTGGACCACACCACATCATACCACACCACTCACCTCGGTGTCAAAGTCGTTAGTAATAAGCTTGGCGCGCTTCACAGCCCACAGGGTGGTCCCATCAGCAGGAGACACAGCGCGGTACACATCTCCAAATGCACCCCTGCCCAGCAGATTATCCTCGCTCCATCCATGGGTCGCCTTCACCACGTGCTGCAGTGGGTACTCCTGACATGCCTGCGATGCTGCTCTGCTGCTCATCAACGCTGGTGCTGGGAGCAAATGGAAGGGAGGTGATGGAGGAAGAGTGGTAGTTGGAGGTGATTTGGAGCACCAGGGAGCTTGCTTGCGCCCCTGCCCAGAAGACTGGCCTCGCTCCACCCGTTGGTGGCCTTCACCACATGGTGCAGTGGGTACTCCTGACACGCCTGTGATGCTGCCCTGCTGCTCATCAACGCTGGTGCGAGGGGAGGGTGAGAGAGGAAGGGGAATAGGACGCAGATAGAGGTGAGAGAGCAAACGGCGGAAGGAGGAGGTGATTGGGATAGCAGAGAGCATATATGCGCACGATGACATGCCCGACGGGCGTGCACGCGACAAGCGCACTGTGGCATGCCCGTCGGGTGTGCAGTGCACCACCCATTGGTCTCCCTCACCACCCATTGGTCTCCCTCACCACCCATTGGCCTCCCTCACCACCCATTGGCCTCCCTCACCACCCATTGGTCTCCCTCACCACCCATTGGTCTCCCTCACCACCCATTGGTCTCCCTCACCACCCATTGGTCTCCCTCACCACCCATTGGTCTCCCTCACCACCCATTGGTCTCCCTCACCACCCATTGGTCTCCCTCACCACCCATTGGTCTCCCTCACCACCCATTGGCCTCCCTCACCACCGCCTGCAGGGGTGCACACCTGCGATGCTGCTCAGCTGCGCTGGTGAGAGAGGAAGGGGATGCGGCAGCAGAAGTGGGGGTTGCTTTTGAGAATTCTAAAAAAATTGGGCTCCACATTTTCTAGCACCAGGGAGGGAGCTTGTGTGAGCCGCTGCCTAGCGGATTCTCGAGGCGCCTTAAGAGGGAGCTTGTTTGAGTTGAGACCCTGCTCAGTCCCGCAGTGTCAAGTGTGGAGCAGTGGGGGGTGTGCAACAGTGTGCGGTGCAGCCATGTGCGAAGCACCTTTCTGGCGCTGCCCTCTGAGGCAGTAGTAGTAGAGCACAAGAGCCTGCCCAGGCCCAGCCAAGAGCAACAGCATACACAGCAACCACGGCACGGCCCCAACGATCGCTCCCACAGACACACACTCCCGCCTTCCTCCACTCTGAATTTCCCTGGTTGCCTGTAGTGTGCAGTGCGTTCAATACCTTTCTGTTGCCGTGTGTTGAAGCAGCAGTAGTAGAGGATCAAGGCGAGGCCCAGGAGAGCAGCACAGGCAGCAACCACGGCCCCGACGATCGCCCCCACAGACACTCCCGCCTTCCCCTGGTTGGCTGCAGGCGGGGCAGGCAGCTGGGACTTGTCGCCTGCAAAGAAAATACACGAGAGAGAACGTGCAACCACGTTAGCGTGTTCTCTCGGCACACTCGGTGACTGGGTGGGGTGAGTGGGTGGGGTGAGTGGGTGGGGTGACTGGGTGGGGTGAGTGGGTGGGGTGACTGGGTGGGGTGAGTGGGTGGGGTGAGTGGGTGGGGTGAGTGGGTGGGGTGACTGGGTGGGGTGAGTGGGTGGGGTGACTGGGTGGGGTGACACTCACATGAAGTGCAGAAGTCAGCGCAGGTGTGGCAGAAGCCATTAGACGGATTCTGGGGCACACCGCAGCTGCTGTAGCGGTCAGGGCACGCGAGAGAGGTGTTGCTGGTGGAACTGATGTGATGGGAGGCATGGGGCAGGCAGGGTGTGGGGACTCTTGAGGCGCCTCAAAAGAAACGTTTTAAGGCACACCGCAGCTGCTGTAGCGGTCAGGGCACGCGAGGGAGGGACGCACATGCGCTCAATGCATCACCATCATTCAATCCCTTTCAAGCAGGAAGCTCATTGCCTGCTCCACCTCACTCCAACCCACTCCACTCCGCTCCACCCCACTCCACCCCACTGAAACACGTGTGCGACAAGTTACTCCCCTTCAAGCAGCACTCACGATTTTCATGTGGAAGGATAACTGCGCGGTGTGTCGTATGGTGTGTGCTGTGTGCTTCGCGGTGTACAGTGTGCTGTGTGGTGTGCAGAGTGGTGTGCAGTTCGTTCTAGAGCACTCACAGCGTCGAGAGGTTGTTCAGGCCTCCAAAGGAGGGAGAGATGGTTCCTTGCAGCTTGTTAAAGGCCACGTCTCTATGCCGCATGGAAAGCAAGGGCGACCCGGAAGCTTGTTGCTAAGGATCATGAAAAACCAACTAGATTTTCGGTGTCACACAGTTGGAAAAAACGGAGGTGGCGGAAGCTATGAGCTGTGGGAAAGTGCTGTTGTCTCAAGGGCGGCACGGCGGAATTGTGGAGCGATGGGGACGGTGAGACAAAAGCATTGTGGTGAAAAGCTGGGGGGAGATTGTGAGAGACAGGAGGACGATTAGGCTTAAGTTTTGCCAGTGGACGCAACTTGATGGCACGTGGGGGCGGGCATAAGTGTATGTATTGTGGTGTGGTATGGGCAAGGTACATGAGAAGAGTGTGCAAATCTTCATCACAAGACGAATAGGATTTCCAGCAGGATTAGTAACGGCAGGACAAAGTAAATGAAATAATTTTATAGAGGCAGCAGCGGCAGCAGCATATGAGGGCTATGGGAGGAGCAGCATATGAGGGATAGGGGAGCTGCAGCATATGAGGGCTAGGGGAGGAGCAGCATATGAGGGCTAGGGGAGCTGCAGCATATGATGGCTAGGGGAGCAGCAGCAAAAGAGGCAGGAGCGCCTTTGCACATAAGGAAAGCGCCATGACGCAACACATAAGCAGTTAAAGTGACAGACAGGGGTGAAAGACACTCACAGGGTAACCAAGGAGGTCATGGCTGTGAGGGATTCAGGGAGAGGGCCAGTGAGCTGGTTGTGAGAGAGGTCCCTGTAGTGAATAGAGCGCGGTGGATGGGCGGCATACGATAACCTTTGAGGCACCTCAGAAGCTGAACCGGTTGTGAGAGAGGTCCCTGTGTTGATGATGGCAAGGTGGAAGACATGAGCATGGCATGACAGGGAGGCATGCACATAGCATGAAGGGCTTATGCAACCAGAGCTCGAGCAAGTCCAGCAGCCGCTAAAGAAGCAGCCAATTCTGCAGCTGCAGCAGAACAATGATGGCAAGATTTTTTCGATGGTACACGTGTCACCGAAGCAGAAACCTGGGAGGGAACATAAAACTTGGGCCGGAAGAGCACATGGTCTGGTGTACCTTGTGTACTCCAAACAAAAGAGCCGGCATGTCCTAGAACCATCACGTGGATGGTTTCTAGTGTGTTCCCTTCCACCCAAGTCTGAAGCTTCCTGCCAGGTTTCTGCTCGGTGACATGTGTACCATCGAAAAAATCTTGTCATTATTGTCAATCGAAACGCCTTCGACATTCAGTGGTTCTGTTGCAGCTGCAGAATTGGTTGCTTCTTTAGCGGCTGTTGCACTTGCTCGGGCTCTGGTTGCATGCATGACACATGCATCACACATGTCCCGACTGCTGCTCGGCAGCATGCCTCACAGCAAGCAAGCACCCTACAATATTCTACTCTGGAAAATAATCCGCTGCCACGTAAAGGCATGACCTCCAAGTGGGGTCCCTTCCCTTCAACGTGCATAGCAGGTGCAATGCATGGCAGGTGGAGTGCATGGCAGGTGCAGTTCATGGCAGGTGGAGTGCATGGCAGATGCAGTGCATGGCAGTGCCCCGACTGCCCCCTCCAAGGCGTTTCCTACTCACAGGGACGTAAGGCTGGTGCCCGGGAGTCCGTCGGAGTGCAGAGCTTTGGAGCTCAGGTTTCTCCTATCGTGCGTGCTTCCTGATTCTGTGACTGTGCACATTCCATGCCACCAACTCTCTATTAATTTTCGACTGCTCCAACCCTACTCACAGGGAGGTGAGGCTGGTGAGCTTGCTCAGGTCTTGGAGCCGGTCGGACTGCAGCGCGTTGGAGCTCAGATTGCTGCCATGCGGGGGGTGGGAGGGAGAGTAAAAGGGGGAATGGAGGGGTGTGGGAGAGCACCGGGAGCGTGCATGCAAAGCGACGGAGAGAGCGCGCATGCACGTGCACGTGCACATGCACATGCACATGCGCATGCACATGCACATGCACATGCACATGCACATGCACATGCACATGCACATGCACATGCATAAGTGCACACAAGGAGCTATGCCCCGCTTGCTTGTGTGGCTCTGCAACCGGTATCAGAATACAAACGACGGGGAATCGTACAGTTGCTGTAGCTTGGCGTAGTCCAGCCCTTGAAGCGGCGAGAGATCCGAGACGCCGTTAGACGGCAACTCCCTGGAGAGTAGCGAGAAAGGCCAAGGCGAAGAATGAGGGGAAGGAAACGCAGCAAGGAGAGGCAGAAGGAGCAGAGAAGGGAAGACGACCTTAGATGCAGGTGTGTAGAAGGGTCAAAGGGCCGAGGTGGGGCTGAGGGTGGGGCGTACACTGGCTTGTGTGGGGGGCACACTTGTGTGGGGGCAAGGGTCTGGGAACCGGCAGGTGTGCGGTGTGGAGAGTGCATGAGAGGGCAGTGCGTGTGGGGCATGCGTGTGGTTCCTGCATGTGGCGCATCAGTGCGTGTGGGGCATGCGTGTGGTTCCTGCATGTGGCGCATCAGTGCGTGAGGGGCATGCGTGTGGTTCCTGCATGTGGCGCATCAGTGCGTGAGGGGCATGCGTGTGGTTCCTGCATGTGGCGCATCAGTGCGTGTGGGGCATGCGTGTGGTTCCTGCATGTGGCGCATCAGTGCGTGAGGGGCATGCGTGTGGTTCCTGCATGTGGCGCATCAGTGCGTGAGGGGCATGCGTGTGGTTCCTGCATGTGGCGCATCAGTGCGTGAGGGGCATGCGTGTGGTTCCTGCATGTGGCGCATCAGTGCGTGAGGGGCATGCGTGTGGTTCCTGCATGTGGCGCATCAGTGCGTGAGGGGCATGCGTGTGGTTCCTGCATGTGGCGCATCAGTGCGTGAGGGGCATGCGTGTGGTTCCTGCATGTGGCGCATCAGTGCGTGAGGGGCATGCGTGTGGTTCCTGCATGTGGCGCATCAGTGCGTGAGGGGCGTGCACATGAGGGCCGTGCTTACACATCCACGAGGCTGGTGAGAGAGCTCAGCACCGAGAAGGCACCATTGGTGCCCATGCTGCAGTCCTTCACTCTCCTGCACTCCACCACATAACAGGGAGGGGAAGGAAGCATTTCTTAATAACCAACAAGGCACTATTCGTGCCCGTGCCACGAGGCTGGTGAGGAAGCTGAGCATTGAGAAGCCGCTATTGGTGCCCATGCTGCAGTCCTTCACTCTCCTGCACGCCACCGCAGGCGAGGCAAGCAGGGAAGCGTTGGAGCTCTGAATGAGTTCTTGGGGCAGCAAGAATCAGCAGGAAGGCAGCCATGACATGCTCCATGCCATTCCATGCCATCCTGTAACAGATGGACCAACTCGCTCCAACTTTGGAAGCATGCAATGGTGTCGCATGGCATTTCTTGGAATGCATGCCGTCCAGCAAGTACACACCGTGTTCTCTCAAAAGCACGCGCTCAAATAGCAATGGCGCATGCATGCAGTGGCGGATGCAGTGGCGCATGCATGCAGTGGCGCATGCAATGCAATGGCGTACAGTCTGATGAGCTGTGCGAGGTTGGCAATGGTGGAAGGAAAGGCCACTCCAGTCACGGTCGGCAGACACTCCACTGACCTGCACAGGCACAACATGCACACGCACATGCACAAGCACATACGCATGCACACGCACATGCACAAGCACATGCACATGCAAAAGAACACGCACAAGCACATGCACATGCACATGCACAAGCACATGCACATGCACATGCACATGCATGGAGTAAACCGAATGCATGAGTACTTTTGATGCGCGCGAACACAATAATCCTTCCTTCATAGGCTCCTCAAAGCACGAGGTGCACACTCGGCAAGGAAAGCACGTAATATGCACGCTGCAAGAACAATGTTACTCAGATTAATGTCATACAGAATAGAAAGAAACATCAGAATGAGCAAGAAAACCGGCTTATCTGCCCTCTGTGGCCCAGTCTAACTAGGCAAGCGCCCTCCCATACGCTCTGTGAGCCCAACCTAGTTGCCCCCTACTCGCTTTATTTGTCAACTAGTAAATGCCCTACTCGCTTGCGTTGGCCACAACACGTGCCCCTACTCCCACAACAACTCACAGCGACTTGAGCCATGTGATGTTGTAGAGTGGGTTGTCTGGAAAATCGATGACCGTGTAGAAGCTCCTGCGTCGCGGAAAGCAGCGGTGCAGATGAATGAAGTGACACAGAAGGCCAGAAAGAGAGAGCACAGCGCAAGCGAGCATAACGCAAGCCGATCACAAGACAAACAACTTCGATTCCACGAATGGTGCGATGGTGGGTGGTGGTGTGGGTAGACAAGACGAGGACTTAAAAAGGGCACAAGAACAGGTGCACAAAAGCACGCCCCTAATAGAGCCCCTGTCAGAGCCGTCTTGGAGGGCTCTCGCACGCACGCACGCACGCACGCACGCACGCACGCACGCACGCACGCACGCACGCACGCACGCACGCACGCACGCACGCACGCACGCACGTACACGCGCACGCATGCACGTGCGCATGCACACACGCACGCATGCACACACGCACGCACGCACACACGCACGAGCGCACGAATGCACGCACGCGCGCACGCGCGCACGCATGCACGCACGCATGCACACACGCACGCATGCACACACGCACGCACGCACACACGCACGCACGCACGCACGCACGCATGCACAGACGCACAAAAGCGCGCGCGCACACACACACACTCACACACACTCATGCGCATGCACACACACACCCGCACACACGTGCGTACGCACACACACACACACGCACGAGCACACGAGCGCTCTCACGCGCGAACACACACACACAGATAGGCACACGCGCGCACGCACACGCACGCAACAATGCACAAACACGCACACACACAAACACGTTCACGCACACACACACACACACGCACGCACACACACACACACATGCACACACACACACACACACACACACACGTGCGCACACACACACACGCACACACACACAAGTAGATGGACACACACACGCACACACAAACGTACACACACACGTGTACATGCACACACACACACACACACACACACATGTACACACACACACACACATGTACATGCACACACACACACACATGTACATGCACACACAGACATGTACATGCACACATACATGTACATGCACACACACACACACATGTACATGCACACACACACACACATGTACATGCACACACACACACACACACACATGTACATGCACACACACACATGCACATGCACACACACACATGTACATGCACACACACACATGTACATGCACACACACATACATGTACATGCACACACACACACACACATGTACATGCACACACACACGTACACACTTACAGCTCCGTGAGGCGAGTAAGGCGCGTGACACTATCCGTGGGAAAGGATGGTGCCATAAGCTGGGAGAATTGCCTGGGGCGATGATGATGGGGCGATGATGATGGGGATGTAGAGAGAAGAACACCTGAAAGAGTGAAGACGGTTCCAACAACACCTGAAAGAGTGAAGACGGTTTCAAGAACACCTGAAAGAGTGAAGACGGTTTCAAGAACACCTGAAAGAGTGAAGACGGTTCCAAGAACACCTCAGACACACTTGAAGCGTGAAGAAAACGAAAACGGTGGGTGGCAGTTTGTTGTGCTGAAGCCCCCTGGCCTGGCGACCCTTCGAGGGCGCTTGAGATGTGTTCTCAGAAGCGTTTCAGAATTCGGAATGAGAATCATTGTTAGGAGGAGAAAAAGAAGAAGAAGAAGAAGAAAATAATTCAAAAAACACACACACACACACACACACACAAAATGGAGAAAGCTCTAACGAACTTGGAGGTGATGCTGCCTGCCTCGTCGCACATGACGCCAGCCGCGTCCCTGCAGTCCCCTCCGGGAAACCATCCCGTGAACTCGAATCCCGACGTTGCACACGCACAGGTTCACAAGCCCCGGGTTCACAAGCCCCGGGTTTACAAAAAAGGTGCGGGCGTACATGGAGGTAACACTGCCCGCCTGATCGCACGTGATGCCAGCCGCAACCCTGCAGTCCCATCCAGGGACCCAGCCTGTGTAGTTGGTTTTCCACGCACTCTGCAGCTCCTCCAGCACCGCACCTGGACATTTCCGGGATGGGCCGATCGCAGCAGCACACGCGGCAGGCGCGCGTGTGGATGATATCGGAGTGGTGAGTGAGGGACATCGGACAAACAGTTCATCGGGCTGTGCGGCGGTGGCGAATGGTGGCAAGAATTGCCCGAAGTCGTGAGTTTCGCTTAGAGGGAAGCAGAGATTAAAGCAGTGGCATTGAGACAAAGCAAGCGGGCACACAGGGAAGTTGAAAGAGGATAGACAGTGTAGAGAAACGATGATAGAAGACTTTGATGTTTGGTGGCTGTTGAGATCTGATTGCTGGTTCGATGAGCACGAGCACGAGCACGAGCACGAGCACGAGCACGAGCACGAGCACGAGCACGAGCACGAGCACGAGCACGAGCACGAGCACGAGCACGAGCACGAGCACGAGCACGAGCACGAGCACGAGCACGAGCACGAGCACGAGCACGAGCATCACAGCGTTGTTTCGGGGAGCGTTTCGCGTGGCAGGAAGGGCAACGCGGCAGCAGCTTACTAGGAGTTGCGCGAATCTTATACTAGTAAGGGTGATTTCACCCTCGTCGCACGATCAATTCAAATCACCGGTTTCGTCGGAAAGCGACCCCATTCGTCGTTGAATCCCCACGAACCATTTCAACTCATTCGTCGTTGAATCCCCACGAACCATTTCAACTCATTTGCCGAATTTCCACGAGGACTCGCTATACTTTCATCATCCCTGGCGAACCGTTGGATTCCGAGATGGTCAGTGCGACCGCCGTTGTTTGATGGGCCTCAAGAATTCCCCGGGACCATGACACCTTATAGTACAACTAGTAGTACTAGTAATAGAAGCAGTGATCCCTTCATCCCTGGCGTACCATCGGATTCCGAAATTATCTCTGCGACGGCCGTACCGTCTTTTAGGCGCCTCAAGAGTCCCGGGGGCGATTTGACCTTAATAGTAGCAGCGACCCTAACGTACCATCAGAATCCGAGATGATCTGTGCGACGGCCGTCCGCGGCACGAGGCATGCGGCGATTACTGCGACGAACGCGAGCGACGCGACGCTGAATGCGAGTACGGAGCGACCGCCACCACGGTCGACGAGGCCTCTAAGCATCGTCACGATGCGCGTGTCAGCCACGCGCAGTCCGCGAGGCAGCGACTCGCTGGTTTGCGCCGCAGGGAATCGGTATCCAGCGAGTCTACAACGCCTCGCCGCTACCCACTGGGTCAAAACACGAGGGTGCTATTCTGGCGCAGCGGGGTGCCCTTAACACAGCCCAGAGTCGCACCCTGCCTTGGCAGCGTTACAGCCAGTGGATCTGCCGAAATCAATCGGGCCACATAGACTGAAGGTCGCAGCTCAAAGTCACTCGGACGAACACGGCTTTTTATGAGGCAGCAGAGCTGACCATGAGCATCGGGTGCCTAGCTGTTCCCAGGAACACGGTTTTCCTAGCAACTTCCTCAACGGAACACACTAGCGGTTTCATTGGGAGCGGTGTGGAGCGGAATTACTTGTCCGAGCTCACACTCGTTCCAGCAGTCACCCAGCGTCGCGCGAGTTGTAGCATTGCGACTGACGATAATTGTGGTGGTGAATGGCAAAATAGTACCGCTGCTCAGCTCAGCTCAACCATAATTGTGGTGGTGAATGTGCTTTTGTGCGTCTCACAGCGGTTCTTTTTAGATTCTTCACGTTTGGGTGAGGTTTCGAGCATCAAATGCGAAATGACGCGCCGCTCCGGTCGAGGTTCTTCTAGCCGACGTGATTAGTTTCTGCGGGAAACCCGCATGTCACCAATTCCCGCCCAAACAGGGTTGCTGGTGTGTGCATGGCTGTTCTGACACCTGACTAGAGGTTGCTTATGGTGAATCATCCGAAAAAGTGAATACACTTACAAACTTTCAGAACCTGTATAACTGCTGAATTGAGGCACTTGCAAGCTGTCAAATGCGAGGCACATCCTACATTCTACAGCTTTGTATGTCTAGTATAACTGCTGTAGCATAGAGCCGTACCATGAGCGAATACACATTCGAGCCCCAACATCATAATCCCACAACCCTTGCTTCACCTGCCTCCTTATCTTCTTCCGCCTTCCGGCCACCCAGTTGTTATGGATTATTATGCAACCCATTTCTTCGCACCCTTTCCGAACACTATTTCCCATGTGGAACAACATCCGCGTTGCACCATTAGGGAACCTACTTCTATCGAGGAAATCCACAGTAAGGTTGAACTTCGGATTTAAGCACCGGGAATCACCCACAGTGTACTCAGACGAAGCTCCACACAGCACATCATAGAAACTGGGCTGCTCTGTTATAGGGGACGCTGCTGCATGCGCAACCACTGCCTCAAGAGCCGCCAATGCCCTCGGCTCTGAGCGAATGAAATAAAACCCCGAGTTGAGCCGCCGATAGTCATTATCCGGGCCCGTGTCATTATGATTATCGCTCTGAACGACCATGTGCCCCGGCCCATACCCCATCACTATCGGTCGCGCGTCCGCAAACCAATATATATCTGCGTCGTTAAACAGCACGTGGTAACCAGCCCGTAACACGCGCAGCGCGGCCCGAGACTTCACTTTAGTCACGTTGAGAAAGCAGTCCGTGCCGAAGTGGCACTCGTCGCGGCCGAACGCATCGTCGTATGCGTGGGGGAACACCGGGAGGCCCTGCTCACGGGCAAAGTCGTAAGTTTCCCTGTCCATGGCGGCTATAACGTAGTTGTGCACATGCAGGCGGCGCAGCCCGCACACCCAGCTCATCATCACCTCCCTGTAGTTAGACGCCACCACCGCCAGCACCACTGTCCGCGCTTCGTCCCCCTCCGCTGTACCTGCCCCTTCGACCCTTACTGTCCTCCCTGCCCCTTCTGTCCCCACTGTCCCTTCTCTAACTTCTGCTTCGGAGTTGGTGCCTCTGGCACTGCCATGCCACCCACTGCTGCCTCTCCTTCCCGCTGCAGCCTCCTCTCCATCCAATCCTTCATCCTCTTGCATGTCTTTCTCTCTCCCCTTCTCTCTGCCTCCGCTCCTCCTCATGCCCGCCCCCCTCCTCACCACCTGTCGCAGCACCCGCAGCATCACCTCATCATGCTCCACTCTCTCAAACGCAAGCGCCCCCACCTCTGTCTCGTTTCTACCCCCACCAGCCCCTCCAGTCCCGTTCCTACCTCCACCCACCCCTCCAGTCTCGTTCCCACCTCCACCCGCCCCTCCTCTCTCATCCCCATCCCTTCCCCCTCCACCCTCACCCTCCTCATCTTCCCCGCCTAACTCCACCTCCTTCCTCTTGGCCTCCCGCCTCCGCCTCAACCCAACACCCTGTCTCCTCCATGCTGCTGCTGCCTGCATCAACTCCTCCCTCTGAACCCGCCCAATGCACCTCTGCTCCTCACCGCCTCCCCCGTCCTCATCCTCACTTCCTCCTTCCGCCGGCACCATCCCTCGTTGCTGCTTGTCCCGTGGCTGAAAGCAGAAGCCTGCAGCGCCAGGGTGGGCGCACGGGACGAGGGCCCATGGCACATCAGAGAGAGACACTCGCGGCTCACCGCTCACATAGTGCTGCTGCTGCTGCTGCTGCTGCTTTGTGGCGGAACCGTGCTCATTTTGCGAGTGGCCGCTGGTGGAAGAAAGAGAGAGGGGAAAGGAACCATAAGAGAGAGCCAAGTAGGCATTCAGCTCCTCCTCTCCTTCCTCCTTTCCCGCTCCCTCACCTCCCCCCTCGCCCTCTCCCACTCCCTCCTCCCTTCCCTCCCCTTTCTCCTCTCCTTCCCAGTCGCCCACCCCCTCCTCCACAGCAGCAGCAGCAGCAGCCCTCTCGGGTGGCAGCAGCAGCACGGGCTTTAGAGCAGAGGCATCGATTACGAGGCGGAGGGTCGAGTAGAGGCACTCGTGCAGCATCCACTGCTGCCACACGCCGCGCACCGAGGGTAGTGCACGGGGGCGAAGGCCTGGTGTGCGGTAACCAGGTAACCCCTGGCGTGTGGAATCGTTGCTCGAAGCTTGAGAGCTGGCCCTTGGATCTACCATTCCCCTTTGCTGCCCTTGCCCTTGCCCTTGCCCTTGCCCTTGCCCTTGGATCTGCTGATCGCCCTTGCCCTCTTGCACACTGTGCGCTTTGTTCTCCCTCCATCCCTCGCCCTCTCCCCCGCTTCCTCCACTCTCTGTGTGTGGATGCAGCAGCAGCGGTGTGGGGGGTTGCAGCAGGCGGAAGGGGGGAACGGGGCCAGAGAGGAGGGGGGTGCGGCCCACATTCCAGGCCCACAGGATGGGGGGCGAGCAGGGCGAGTGGGAGGGCAAGGAGGACGACTGGAGATGACTTAAAGCCTCATCCATGCTCAGCTGACGTGTCACTCCTGTTACACTGGTTACCACCCATGCATACTCCTCCTCACTGTCACCATTTCCTGCGCTACTCTCTTCCCTTAGTGCCGCCCTACCTGTCCCAACCCTCTTCCACTCAACCGAACCAGCCCCCGAACCTCCTGCCGAGCCTCCTACGGAGCTTCCTGCCGAGCCTCCTGCTTCAACCTTCCACGCGCCTGCCACCAGCAGCCAGTCTCCCTGCACGTCCCGTGTCTTTTCCAGAGCTACACTCAGGCTTGGCATAAGCACAGCCTCTGGGTCGGTTAAGACAATCGCCAAGCCTGCACGGGAGGCTCGGGCGCGCGCAAAGAGGCTGTTGGCTAAGGGTCGGCCTGAGGCGAAGCTAGGAAGGGGGTAGAAGGGAAGAAGGGGAGGGCATCGGGAGTGGGGAAGGGCATGGGGCGGTGGGGAAGGGTATGGGTAAGTGATGGAGGAGATAGGATGAGGGAGGATGGGGAAGTGGTGGTCTGTTGTTGTGAGCTACTGGGATTGGATGATGTATTTGATGAAAGTGGAGAATCCTACTGGGAGAATCCGGATGATGTATTCAAAGGGAGTGGAGAATCCGTTAATCTAAACAAGGGGTTTGAGATTATTCTCCCCCATATGCCAGCAAACCTCACGTCAAGCGCTCTCAAACTATGTGCCCCTCCCAATCTTGCGCCCCTCTCCACACGCAATGCTCCCCGTCCCTTCTCGCCTACCTCATGTCCACTTCCTCCTCCACCACGACTCGCCCGGGGTATCTCGCGGCGACGCGGTGCTGGCTGGGATGGGATCCCACCAGCACCACCCGCACGCCGGGCTGCAGACGCACCCAACCAGGACCAGGGAGTTGAACCCACTCGCCCCCACACAAGCCCCCACTGCACCATAAACGCCCATGCGCCATCTCTCCCATGCCATCTCTCGCCTACCTCATACCCACCTCCTCTTCCACCACGACTCGTCCGGGGTATCTCGCGGCGACGCGGTGGAACGTGGGATGGGATGGGACCCCACCAGCACCACACCCATGCACCCCTCTCCATGCGCCAATGCCCCCCATGCATTCTCTCCCCTACCTCGTATCCACTTCCTCCTCCACCACGACCCTCCCGGGGTATCTCGCGGCTACGCGGTGGAAGGTGGGATGCGATCCCACCAGCACCACTCGCACGCCGGGCTGCAGACGCACCCACGACGCCACCGCCGCGCGCTGCCGTCGCCCCTGCCTCCCCGCGAATGGCCGCGGAGCCACGAACAGCTCCGCGAAAGCGGCGGGAGAGGTTACCCGTTCGCTAGTGGAGGCTCGGCGGAATGGTTGATCCTGGTAATCGGCCATTCGTGTGCTGGTGAACGGGGGGGTGTCTGATTGGTTGCGACGATTCCAAGGATCGCACAGCGACTGGCCGCGTCGCACAGGAGATTCAACGGGGTCAATAAAGTCGTTCGAGTCAGCTACACTCCAGCCTTCGTCCTCGCCCAGCACGTGGCATTGTGCTTTCTCGAGCTGCCACGTGGCACTAAGCGACAGGAGCGTCAATCCGAGGGCAAGGATCCAGAGCAGCGGCAAGCAGGGAAGCAGAGGAACGTCGGAGGAGAAGGATTTGAAGCATGCGGTCCGACGTGGAGGGGCTTCGGGATTGGATGGCTGACGTGGAGGGAACGCGAGCAAGGAGGTATCATTGGAGTAGGTATTTGATGAAGAGGCAAAGGAGAGCGTATTTGCCGATAAACTCTTAACGGAGGAGTCGTTAGCGAGTGGTTCACTCAGAGTGATGCTGAGGGCTGGTGAGTCGTAAGGCGGGGTGATCGATTGAGAGGAAGCGCTCCGACGGGATAACGATCGATGAATGTCCCCTTTTGGGTGCATGGTGAGTCGTCTCCAGGCCACTGAGGCTCAAAACTATTTCCGGAGACTCATTATGAGTGACGGACGTCAGTGCAGTGGTCCGTGAAATGGATTCAACAGGTTGGAGTTGCACGGCAATACCAACGGCAAGTCCCGAAAAAGGGAAAGTACATGCCAGCTCCTTATTTTCAGAAATCTCTCAAATTTAGTACTAAGTTTACTCAAACAGTATGTGTTTGTGGAATTTTGCTCACGCGAGGCCCAGATTATGTTCAAAACTGGTCCTGCGGGGGTTAATTCTCGATACGTGTCCATTTCGCACAAAGAATTTTTGGACGGGGCAAAAAAACATAATACCCCAGGGAAACCAGGACATTTTTAGGGAACCCGCCCGGTGTTTAGGGTTGATCCCTCCCGTAATGTGTCCCATTTCCCTTGGGGTATTTTTTTTGTTTGCCCAGTTAAATAAATTCTGGAGCGAAATGGACACGTGTCGAAATTTTGGCCCCGCAGGACCAGTTTTGAACATAATCTGGGCCTCGCGTGAGCGAAATTCCACAAAGTTGGACTTTCTGGGTGAACTTGGGACTAAATTTGAGATATTTTTGAAACTAAGGAGCTGGGATGTACTCTCCCCCCGAAAAAACACTAACGACTCCCAAGGGTCGAAGGGCTTGCAAGGGAGCCAAATACGCATCCTGGAAGAAGAATCAGTGTAGGCATGGATCTGTTATAGCATTCTCCCAAACACTGTTATGAAATAAACTTTGATAAGGTTCGTGTTAGATCGTCATGATGACCACAGTAAAGTAGCAGGAAATCTCTCAGACTGTTTTGAGACTAGTTAAATGGGAACTCGGAACTTGAAATTAGATACTAGTGATATGTAGGTTAGGTTGATAATATGTTACTTTTTTCTTAGCAGGTATTTATTTGTTTAGGTGTAGAGTGAAAATGTAGCTCAGCTATAGAGAATTTTGCTCTGTGATGATTTTCAAAGTTGCCTAACCACATGAGGTCCCAGCGAAGATTTCGTGCGAAAGAGCTCGCGCGGGGGCGTTCCACCTGTAACCTGCACTAGCCCCAAGGTTCGGGGCCACGGTCACTCACGAACCAAACAGGTGGCGCGCAAACGTACTTTCCGCGGGTGGCTTACGCCACGTCAACAGATAAGAGCCGCATCACCCTCCACAACAATTTCTCGCGCACTTTCTGCCGTCAGATCGTAGTGCCACATCGTCCACGACCGTCCGTTGGTACTTGATTGGTGCATCCCTACCTGACCCGTATCCACTCACTTGAACCCCAGAGATCCACGCCTGAGAGAGCCAACTTCTGTGGGGTCCAGACCAGGGTGTTTTCTCCGAGGTGGGGTTTCAATCACATTGTCTCCCAGCACCTTTTGGTAGGCCTCCATCACTCCAACAGCCAAACACATCCATCAACCATGGCTGCCTCCCTCGCCACCAAGGCTGCTGCCGTTCCCCAGGTATCCACTCTAGTCTCGGTAGAGCATTGTTGCAAGAGTTGGGTCTGTTTAACGTCGCGCCGTAAATGTTGTAGTCCTAACAGATTCCTTATGTCGTCCATTTGCAGCTCGCGGCCGCTAAGGCCTCCGTCTTCGGCGATGCTAAGTCGCTGAAGACAGTCCGGGCGGTCGCCGTTACCAGGAAGGCGTCCCCCACTGTTGCCATGGCCGGTGCCCCTTCTTTTGTGCCTGACATGACTCGCCGCAACATCATGAACCTTATCCTTGCTGGCGCCGTCGCGGTTCCCGGCACTGCCGTTCTCGGTGGCTGGCTCTACGTTCTTGTTCCCCCCAGGTAATGCATTATCTTGTCGCAGCTGGTATTGTTGATCCAGCTGTTAATGGACGGCTTCTAACATATGCTCCTCTTGACTCAACAGCTCCGGTGGCTCCGGTGGTGGGATCGTGGCGCGTGATGCCTTCGGCCAGGAGATAACTGCCGAGCGCTGGTTGAAGACCCACGGCCCCGGTGACAGGACCCTTGCCGAGGGTCTCAAGGTGCGGCTTATGAGATGGCAAGTCATGACATACGCTTCCTTTTTGTTGTCACTTCGACTGATATGTTATCTTCGCAATTTGTTCCAGGGTGACCCCCACTACCTTGTGGTTGAGAACGACGGCCAGCTCGCGCCCTATGGTGTGAACGCCGTGTGCACTCATCTGGGTTGCGTCGTGCCCTGGAACCCTGCCGAGAACAAGTTCATGTGCCCCTGCCACGGTTCTCAGTACGACAACCAGGGCAAGGTTGTACGCGGGCCTGCTCCCCTGGTAAGTAGTGCTAGTCCTGCCATTACTCCAACTGTCGTAAAGAACTGGTCAGTGCATCTTTGGACACTCTTTCTGACTCTTGTGCTTCTCGTTTCAGTCCCTTGCTCTTGCACACGTCGACGTTGTGGACGGCAAGGTATTTTTCAGCCAGTGGCCCGAGACCGACTTCAGGACAGGCGAACCCGCCTGGTGGGCGTAAGCTTCATTGATATGTACTGGATTATATATTACGATTGTAATTCAACATTTGTCGATGAATTAATTGCCTCGGACACTTCCAATATGCGATTAAGTTTTGCAAGCGTTTATTATATCACAGTTCCTGACGGTTAAGTTAGCCACGTCGTCGCGTGAACGCCAAGAAACTAAAATTTGTCAAGTGAAACAGTCGTCTTTTTTATCAACTACTGGTAACCATCGTGCCAGATGTAAACCAGCTCAACAAGTGAACAAAATATTTGCCCATTATATTATTTTCATGGTGAAACATAACTACCTTGCAATGTTAACTTTGTTTATTGCATGATGATACATCAGTCAAAACATTATAAACTTAATACCCATACAAATAGCTCTAAGGGCTGTAATCCTATATACAGCTACTCGCGCCTCAAAAACGAAGACGAAAACGTCTTTCCTTGGGCAAAAATGGCATGTACAACCCTCCAGACGCTCAAAGGATTGAAGCCGATGCCGAGTTCGACTGTAGGAAGTTAATATCTTTGATAAGCGGATTACTAGATCTACAAGGTGGAGTGAACGCCAAAGAGCTCAAGCTTCCACCGCCATCGCTCTGCACATAAAAAAAAAACCGTGAGATGACAGATTCATAAAACTCAAACGTCTAGTATCACTAGTAAGATGACAGACGGCAGAAGAACGTTCAAACAGACATACTTTTGATAGGAAAATGTCGAGAAGTTCAGAACCAATATCGTCATCTCCTCTACTGCACGACCTGAAATTAAGAGAAAATAAGACAAATATTAGATGGGTGAGAATACCTCATGGAATCCATCGGACATATAACAACTGAAAGTCGATAGCAAATGCCTGAATACTGAAATAAGAAAGCTTATCATGACTTACCGAAGACAAGTATGCTTTGCCAAGTCTGACGGTGGAGAGAAAGCGCCTCCATACTTAACAGCCTGGGGCCTGACGACATGAGCAGTACAGGCCTCTGGTCTGAGAAGCTTAGGACAAGACATCTCGGCAACATCAACAGGCATGATGACGGTCTAGTGTGCTTTGAAGAGAACGTTAGCAGTCTCAGCAGAGTCAACCTAGCACAAAGTCTGTTGGGTTTGAACACGCAGCAGGAAGATTGAAGGCCGAAGGGTTTCAAGATGATGAAGGCGAAGGGGTGAGAGACCCAACTTCAAATACCTGACAAGGCCTACCATACCAAACCCCTGCCAGATCAACCACCGAAGCGAACCGTGAACAGTTTGAGGTCTTTGCTGATCTCGCTGTGCTGGCGTAGGTACGGCAGCAACTTACTCCACCGAACCAGAAGCCACAGAAAGTGCTGGTTACGTGTGAAGATAGAAACCTTCACCTGCTTCGCTACACTTCAATACCGAGCTGTAGCCAGGTCATAATCTCATATATGCATTTAATTCTCAAAACATAAAAGTGTGTCTCCTTACTCTAATAGCATGTATTAAACAATTAAGGATATTTGGATGGAAACCGGGCAGTTCCGTAAAAGAAGTAGTAATTTCTTCGGTGCCAAAGCAGGCTCGGTAAGATGAGGTGTGGGTATGGGACTGCTTCCCCAACCATCCCACGCCGCTTCACTTCTCCATCGAGCCTCAATCGTGTCGATGCGTAAATCTAGTGGCGGGAAGGCTTGGGGGATGTCGAGGCTTGGCCACAGTAAATCACCTCGTTTGTCTGGTCTGGGTCACGTTGTCGCTTCCTCAACGGGCATTGATGTTGCGGGTCCCCTGCCCTCCCCGCTCTGCGATCTTTGATTTTGCTGCCCAACGAACCACCAACATTGAACAGTGACTTGCGCTGTCTGGCTCATTTGGAAAACTTGTCGCATTGCCGCAAAATATCGAACACTGAAAAATACCGTAATTTCTTTCAACGTTCAATCAACAAGCTACCGTAACATGTTCACCCAGCTCAAATATAACCGCTGAAAGATGTCATTCAGCAAAAGATCCATGAGAACATGCAGATACAGCATATGTTTTTTAGGTCGCATTCATCATAGGTACCTCCCCCTAACTGCTCCATCAGCTCTCCACTCCACCTTCCACTGAGTATTTCCTCTGGCAAGCCTTCGATTGCTGAAATATAATGTCTATACGACCCTATCAGGGTTTTCTTTCTTTACTTATTTCCCTCCCTTTCTTGATGTTGTTCTAATCTACTTGTTCGTCCACTGCGATGCGGCTATGCTACATGAGAATCTCTTCGGGCACATACGTCGATACCCAATGCCATGGATGTGCGGGTGGCAGCTCCTTGCCAAGTGCAGTGAATTACCAGCACACAGCGCCCCTCGAGAAGCCTCTCGCCTTCACGAAACCAAGGATCCAGCTGGCCCTGCATTTTTTCATCTTCATGCCTTGATAAGCAAACTTCCATTCCACAATTGAGGAAGAAAAATGTCACATGGGACTACTTGTTCTGCTGCGCTTGCATCTGCTTGGGCATCCACGCCTTTTTTATGCTCAGCGCATGGATGTGAGGCAGCTCATCGCTGAGAGCACTGTTCACCACGCGGTGCCGCTCCAGCAACCTCTTGCTCTCAAAAAGCCAACTGCTTCACCTGGGCCTGCATCTGTTCATGTTCATGCATTTTTAAACAAACTTGGATTCCAAATAACCCTGGGAGAAGATTCTACACCTCAGATTCCATCTGCCTACTTGCTCTGCTGCGCCTGCATCTGCTCAGGCGTCCATGCCTTCTTGATGCTCAGCGCATGGATGTGAGGCAGCTCGTCGCTCAGAGCACTGTTCACCATGCGGTGCCGCTCCAGCAGCCTTTTGCCCTCAAACAGCGGCGACACCACCGCCACGTCAAACGCCGTGCCACAGTGCCCTGCTGATGTGTCAATCACCACCTGCCAGGTCATGCGGGGCGGTCGTTGGTTGCAGGGGGGTGAGGGGAGGGGGGGTTGGGTGGGACAGGGGTGAGAGAGAGGCGGAGGTGAGGGAGGGGGATGAGGGAGAGACGGAGGGGAAGAGGGGGGGATGGGGAAGATGGGCATGAAAGGGAGCTGATGTGTGCCAATGGTGGGTTGGGTTTGGATGTACACAAGGCGAACTGACAAGACGGGTGCACACAGGGATGGGAGAAGTTTTGAGTCCGTCCAAAAGCCACGCAAGGACCAAAAGAAAGCCTGCCTCACGTTTGTGCCCTGCCCGACCCATGCGTGCGCTCCATGCCTGCGCCCCTCCATTAGACCATGCTACCCCAAGCCTGCGCCCTCTGCTACCCCAAGCCTGCGCCCCTCTGCGACCCCAAGCCTGCGCCCTCTGCTACCCCAAGCCTGCGCCCCCCTGCTTTACCAAGCCTGCGCCCTCTGCTACTATATGCTTTCGCCCATTTGCTGTCCCATGCCTTCGCCCCTCTGCTACTCCATGCATCCCCCTACCCCCCTTCTGACCCTGGACCAACCCCAATTATACTAATGCCCAACCATCACATCAAGACACCATCTCCGTGTTTCACTACCCATGCGTCTCACCACCAAACACCACTCCACCTCTCACCACCTCTCACCACCGCACACCACCCCCGCGACTCACCAGCTCCTGCGGCTGCAGCGCGGCTCTGAGCCGCGCCTCCACGCGCCCCTGCATGTCGCCCATCGCCGCGCCTCCCCTCTCCCTTCTCCGCTCCTGGACCTCGCCTCCCCGCGCGCACGCCTTGCCTCCCTTCTTCCGCTCCGCACGCACTCTAAACGGGCAGGGGGCGTGCGCAGGGACCCGCCGACGGCAGATCCGCCTGCGCCTTCCGGTCGGCGCGCCTCAATGCCCTCGGCGGGGCCTAAATTCGCAAGGCCGCGTGCAGCTGTTGCCACGCGCTGCTGCCACGTGGAGTACACGCACGTAGGTCGGGTTAGGGTTCGGGTAGGCGCAATGGCGACAACGAGGTGACTTTTGAGTCGACTCAAGAGTCTCAGTCGCTCTGACGTGGGCGACGGGAGGGACGAATCAATGAGGAAAGGAAAGATGAGAGGAGAGAGATGGTAAGGAATTAGGAGATGGTAAGGTGATGGACGCTGAGCGGGCAGACGGGTGGGAAGATGAGCGGAGCGATTGTAAAGAATGAACCAAGCCGACGGCTAAAGAACAAAACGAGACCGACGAGACATGAACCATCACAGTGAGAAATGGTCCATTCCCAGATTGATGCCCTATGAAGCCGTTTACTTCAGGGGTGGACTACGGAGACGCACCACGACTCCTGCTGCTCGAATCCACACCACTTCTTGTGCCGACAAAAATCCGTCACCACGTATGACTGCTGGAACCCTTCAGAATTTACCTCAGAATACCTCGGGAACAGATCATAGGCTGGAGCTTGACTGCATTATCTGGGCATTTCATGAACGCAGCGTGGGGGCAGTCTCTTCTCTAGGCTGGAATTTATCCAGCTTTCTTGACAGTGTAGCCACGCGCGCTGTAGGGGGAGAGTTTCTGTACTGACTGTCTGAAGTTCTATTCCTTACCATAAACGCTTCTAACTTTTGAGTTTCCTAGAGAATGAGATATATTGGTTTACATTAAAAAACAGTATAGTGATAGTCCTTATCAAACATTGCATCCATAAAATAGTATTTTTTAGCATCTGGATGGCCCTATTTGTTACATAAGTTTGTATGTCTCTGAATTCTCATTAATTTAGCAGCAATATTGAAAATTGTATAAATTGTTGCAATTTTGTAAATCCTTGATGGCTTCCTTCGAGAACCGTGCCACGTGCGGTTTCATGCGGACGTGTCGAATGTGGAGCTGAAGATCCAGTGTGTCTAGTCAGCAGTTCAGCTCTGTTCTTTTTTCCCTGTAAAACAGGGGACAGCGTTGGGACTGACGGGGTTGGGAACTATGAACGCGCACAGCAGTTGGCCTATTTTGTTGCTAGATTCCCGAGCATCCACTTGTTACCTGCTTCAAGCATTGCTGCTGCTCCACGATCATAGTTCCCTGCCATCTCCTTCGCTCAAATATTGGATACGGCTCGTCCCTATAAAACTCTACTCGTTCTGATCGCGGGGTTTCGTACCGCCAGGAGAATAGAGTGAGTTTTCCCGATCCCACCCTCTTGCTCCCACTTTCCCGTTTTCTATCCTCGATCCTTTAATAATATAACCTTTTATCCCTTCTTTCCAACACTCATTCACTCTGCGTGTACGAACCTGTCCTGGGTGCATTTGGACGCCATCATTGTCAAGGTGACTTCTGAGTCGACTCATAAAGCTCACAAGTCTTGTAGTTTTTTTTTTTTTTTTTTTTTTTTTTTTTTATTCTTTTGTTTTTTTCCCTTTCCACTCTTCACCTTTTGTTTTAAGGTGCTGCATTTTCCCCTCTGGACCACCTGACTCCGAGGTAGCCGGCCTCGTCTTCTCGTTCTCGGTCTCATCCTCTCCATAACCCACATCCTCCTTATCCTGATCCATGTAACTTTGAACCAAGGCGACTCTTGGTCTTACGTTACTCACCGTATATCTTCCTTGGCTTCATGTTCCGTGGCTACCTCTCCCGTCGCAGATCGCAGGTCTTCAAAGGGCTGCCGATAACGGTCATATATCGGAGCGCGTAAACATCTTCAGCGACCAACGAAGCTGAATCGCAATGGTGACGAGTGCGATGATCCAGTCAACCGCCAAATGCGCCGCCACACAGGTAGGCGTGGCTTGGGTAGGCGTGATAGGCAATCTCTTAATGCTGTGTCTTGTGGTGCATGAAACAATCAGCACACTCACGCGAGGATAACTAATCTTCGGACAAGTGGATACGAGTTCTCACGGCGATATCGTCGCCTTGAGAAAATAGAAAAAGGAATAAATCTCAATCAATCCCGATCCGAGTCTACACGATAAGAGCTTGATACAGAAGTGATTTTTGAGGCGCCTAAAAAATCGCCTCAATGCAGGCGCCTAAAAGATCACGGGGATATCGTCGCCTTCGAGAAATCAGGAAAGGAAATCAATCTCAAACTAATCTCGACATGAGTCTACACGATGGGAGCTTGGTACGGAAGCAAAGCGACTGATGCCGAGTGGGTCTGGACCGGCCCGTAGCGATGGCCTCACACACGGTTCCACACGTGCTGATCCGTCACCCGTTGCTTCCCCACACGCTCTCCTGCCCTCCCTCCCTTGCGCCTTGTCTTAGCTTCTGATAGCTTGCTTATTAGAGGGTTTGTTCTTCGATTCCTCTCTCACCTATGCTCTTTAAGACCCATGACTCTTCTCTCCCACGCCCTTTTGGAACGTCACTCATTTCGCCCCTCTCGTTGTTTCCTCTTCCCCTCCGCCCTTTTCGTTCTTCCCCTCCGCCCTTTTCGTTCTTCCCCTCCGCCCTTTTCGTTCTTCCCCTCCGCCCTTTTCGTTCTTCCCCTCCGCCCTTTTCGTTCTTCCCCTCCGCCCTTTTCGTTCTTCCCCTCCGCCCTTTTCGTTCTTCCCCTCCGCCCTTTTCGTTCTTCCCCTCCGCCCTTTTCGTTCTTCCCCTCCGCCCTTTTCGTTCTTCCCCTCCGCCCTTTTCGTTCTTCCCCTCCGCCCTTTTCGTTCTTCCCCTCCGCCCTTTTCGTTCTTCCCCTCCGCCCTTTTCGTTCTTCCCCTCCGCCCTTTTCGTTCTTCCCCTCCGCCCTTTTCGTTCTTCCCCTCCGCCCTTTTCGTTCTTCCCCTCCGCCCTTTTCGTTCTTCCCCTCCGCCCTTTTCGTTCTTCCCCTCCGCCCTTTTCGTTCTTCCCCTCCGCCCTTTTCGTTCTTCCCCTCCGCCCTTTTCGTTCTTCCCCTCCGCCCTTTTCGTTCTTCCCCTCCGCCCTTTTCGTTCTTCCCCTCCGCCCTTTTCGTTCTTCCCCTCCGCCCTTTTCGTTCTTCCCCTCCGCCCTTTTCGTTCTTCCCCTCCGCCCTTTTCGTTCTTCCCCTCCGCCCTTTTCGTTCTTCCCCTCCGCCCTTTTCGTTCTTCCCCTCCGCCCTTTTCGTTCTTCCCCTCCGCCCTTTTCGTTCTTCCCCTCCGCCCTTTTCGTTCTTCCCCTCCGCCCTTTTCGTTCTTCCCCTCCGCCCTTTTCGTTCTTCCCCTCCGCCCTTTTCGTTCTTCCCCTCCTCCCTTTTCGTTCTTCCCCTCCGCCCTTTTCGTTCTTCCCCTCCGCCCTTTTCGTTCTTCCCCTCCGCCCTTTTCGTTCTTCCCCTCCGCCCTTTTCGTTCTTCCCCTCCGCCCTTTTCGTTCTTCCCCTCCGCCCTTTTCGTTCTTCCCCTCCGCCCTTTTCGTTCTTCCCCTCCGCCCTTTTCGTTCTTCCCCTCCGCCCTTTTCGTTCTTCCCCTCCGCCCTTTTCGTTCTTCCCCTCCGCCCTTTTCGTTCTTCCCCTCCGCCCTTTTCGTTCTTCCCCTCCGCCCTTTTCGTTCTTCCCCTCCGCCCTTTTCGTTCTTCCCCTCCGCCCTTTTCGTTCTTCCCCTCCGCCCTTTTCGTTCTTCCCCTCCGCCCTTTTCGTTCTTCCCCTCCGCCCTTTTCGTTCTTCCCCTCCGCCCTTTTCGTTCTTCCCCTCCGCCCTTTTCGTTCTTCCCCTCCGCCCTTTTCGTTCTTCCCCTCCGCCCTTTTCGTTCTTCCCCTCCGCCCTTTTCGTTCTTCCCCTCCGCCCTTTTCGTTCTTCCCCTCCGCCCTTTTCGTTCTTCCCCTCCGCCCTTTTCGTTCTTCCCCTCCGCCCTTTTCGTTCTTCCCCTCCGCCCTTTTCGTTCTTCCCCTCCGCCCTTTTCGTTCTTCCCCTCCGCCCTTTTCGTTCTTCCCCTCCGCCCTTTTCGTTCTTCCCCTCCGCCCTTTTCGTTCTTCCCCTCCGCCCTTTTCGTTCTTCCCCTCCGCCCTTTTCGTTCTTCCCCTCCGCCCTTTTCGTTCTTCCGCTCCGCCCTTTTCGTTCTTCCGCTCCGCCCTTTTCTTCCCTCCGCTCCGCCCTTTTCTTCCCTCCGCTCCGCCCTTTTCTTCCTCCGCTCCGCCCTTTTCTTCCTTCCGCTCCGCCCTTTTCTTTTTCCGCTCCGCCCTTTTCTTCCTTCCGCTCAGGCGGCGCTGCTCGCAGGCGAGCCCGTTCTCAGAGGCGCCACGTCAGCACCGGCGTCTCTCTCGCCCGCCACGTGGTTGCCGCTAGGCCGGACCGGACCCACTCCTGGAGCGCCACGTGTCGTCAGGACAGCGGGGTTTAGACCAGGAGCGGCGGTGGCGGCGGCAGCGGGAGGAAAGGGCGCGAGCAGGGGGGTTGACAGAGGTGAGACGAGGGAGAGGGTGAGAGAGCGGGAAGATTGGGAGAGTTGAATGGAAAGGGTGGTGAGAGAAGCTGGGAGAGGAGTGGAGAAAGATTTGTCAGGGTAAATTGGTGTACAGTGGTTGAGGGAAGTTTCAGTGCGACAAGCATAAGTATGGTGAGAGGCTGTGGCGGAGGGCAGGGGAATGGGCGGAGGCGAGAGAGAACAAAATCAAGGGTTTATTCAGGGCTTATGGAGAAAAGTGCTTGAGATGGATGCCGAGGTTTATCAAGGGGTTTACGGTGCTTTCCGAGGTTTCTTGTGTTTCTTGAGTGAATATAAGCAGGATCGGTTAGCAGCAGGCAATGTATAGAAAACATGGTACAGCATGGCATGGGTATGGCATGGCATGCGTGTGGCATGGGTATATGACAATGACATGGGTAGAATATGGGTGAACATGGGTATGACAAGGGTATGGCGGGGCTATATTACATGGACATGCTCTCATCCGCCTGCATGCTCCTGCTCATTCTCTTCCCCCATTCTCTTACCTTCCCCACTCCCCGTTACCATCTCTCCTTTCCAATCCCCCCTCCCCTCCCCCGCCCCTACCACCCTCTCCCCTCCCTCCACCCCCTTTGTCCGTGCCCCTCTCGTCCCACACAACCCCTGCCCGTCCCACTGTCGTCCTCTGCCTCCCAGCAGCAGGTGCTGCTGGCGTCAGTGTCCCAGCGTCCTTCCTCCCCTCACCCCTCCCTTCACCCCTTCCCCCAGTTCCCCTTTCCTCTACCCCCTCCCCCGCCTCTCCCCTGCCCCGCTCTTCCCACACCCTCCTGCCTGCCACAGTGTCATCCGCTGCCGCTCAGCAGCAGGTGCTGCTGGCGTCAGTGTCCCAGTCCACGTCAGCACCACCTCCCGTGCGCCCATCCCAGCCGTCCTCATACCCGTAAGTGGCACGAGGGAGAGGGCTGTGGAGAGGTGCAGAGAGATGCGGAGGGATGATGGAGTGAATTAGAAAATGTCCTAGCAGGTGCTGCTGGCGTCAGTATCCCAGTCCACGTCAGCACCACCTCCCGTGCGCCCATCCTAGCCGTCCTCATACCCATAGGTGGCACGAGGGAGAGGACTGTGGAGAGGTGCAGAGAGATTCGCGGAGTGCAGAAAGACGCAGAGAGGTGCAGAGAGATGGAGATGGATGGAGAGAGGTACGTAGAGATGGAAATTTGGGTTCTCACTTGGGTTCTAGTGAGAGGGAGAGAGGGGTGGGCATGGGCGCATATATAAGCATTGCCATGCACGTATCCCTCCTGTTCCCCTCATTCCCTCTCAGCACGCAGGGGTATACCTCTTTCCCTGATTGTATGGGTGTGAGCGGGTGGGGGCACAGCTCTCTCCCTCCTTTGGGGGCTTCCGCCCCCCCCTGTCTTCACCTCGCTCCGCCACCTCCCTCTTACCCCCTCTCCGCCCCCCCCTCTTCACGCTAATGCAGGGGCACGCCTCTCATGTGGGTGGGCGTGGGTGTGGCTCTATCCCTCTTCGCCTCCTGGGTGAGAGGCCCTTCAACTCAATCAACACACAATCCGAGACGCACATCCTGCTCCCAGCTGAATCTTCTGTTTGGATGATTCCTAAAAAGGATTGTGCGTCTAGTTGAAAGAACCGTACATGCCCGTCATGCGTGCCTCCCTTTCCGCCGTCTGTTGCCTGTCGTTGCTCCTTGCTGCTTCTTGCTGCTTCTTGCTGCTTCTTGCTGCTTCTTGCTGCTTCTTGCTGCTTCTTGCTGCTTCTTGCTGCTTCTTGCTGCTTCTTGCTGCTCCTTGCTGCTTCTTGCTCCATACCAGCCCAGCCCACCACATTCTTTCTCCTCTATTTTCTGAAACTCCGCTCAACCTTCTTCCCTTCTCTCTTCCCCCTTCCCCATTCCCCCTTCTCTCTTCCCCCTTCCCCATTCCCCCTTCTCTCTTCCCCCTTCCCCATTCCCCCTTCTCTCTTCCCCCTTCCCCATTCCCCCTTCTCTCTTCTCCCTTCACCCTTCGCCCTTCTACTTCTCGCCACCCCTCTCACGTGCAACACCACTGGCGGTCTGCCCTTCTCTGCAGGGCTCTAAGTTCGTCATGCAGCGTATGCAGGTGAGCAGCGGTGCAAACAGGTGAGCAGTGGTGCCAGCAGGTTACCATCGGGGCAAGCAGGTGAGCAGCGGTGCATGCAGGTGAGATGCGGTTTTAGACAAGCAGACTGATCAGAGTACCTTCTCGGTTGATTGACTCTTGCTGAGCGTGTCAACTCAACCACCCACACCTGTTTCCGTTCTCTAATCTCTCCCACCTCCCCAGCAAGCCATGATGAAGCAGATGCTCAGCGCCGTGCAATCCGAAGGCAGGAGAAGCGGCAAAGTGCGTTATCATCTCAAGCTGCATGCTCCGTTTCTGCCCTGTCGTTTGCCCCTTTCCCCCCGCCTCGCCTCTGACTGCTCTCCCACCCCACCAGCAAGCCATGATGAAGCAGATGCTCAGCGCCATGCAGTCCGGCGGCGGGCCGGGCGGCGCAGCTAATCCGTTTGCGGCAGCTGGCATGGGCGGCGGCGCCAACCTGTTTGCAGGCATGGGCGGCGCAGGAGCAGCAGCGAACCCCTTTGGTGGCATGCCCTTCCCACCACCACCGCCAGCAGCATCACCATCATCATCACCCTCCTCCTCCTCTCCCCCTTCTTCCTCTGGTTCCTCCAAGGCCAAACCCTCTTCCACAGCAGCCAAGGCGTCTGCAGGTGCGTTGTCAAATGGGCGTCTCAGGTTTCGAGTCATTTGTTACATCAGGTGCGCAGCAGCAAACCCCTTTGGTGGCATTCCCTTCCCCCCACCACCAGCATCATCACCCTCATCATCGCCCTCCTCCTCTTCCTCCTCCCTCGTCCACCTCCTCTGGTTCGTCCAAGGCCAAACCCTCTTCCACAGCCGCCAAGGCGTCTGCAGGTGCATTGTCAAGGGTTTTTTGAGTGAACTAATAAAACATCATCAGCATTGCCACCATCACCTACTACTGCCTCCTCTTCTAAAGTGTTGCTGAGCTGATGTACTCTCTCCTTTTCGATTATTTTATTCCTGCTCTAGTTGCTCTGGTCCTCTGAGGTCTCTTGCATGTTCACTCTCCAGCCCCCCGGGTATTCCGCCTAACCACCCTCTCTGCACGGAAAGGGATGCGGAAAGCCACGTGTGATGAGGTTGTTTTTGAGACGTCTCACGCCTCCTTGTTTTTGAGACGTCTCACGCCTCCTTGTTTTTGAGACGTCTCATGCCTCCTTGTTTTTGAGACGTCTCACGCCTCCTTGTTTTTGAGACGTCTCACGCCTCCTTGTTTTTGAGACGTCTCACGCCTCCTTGTTTTTGAGACGTCTCACGCCTCCTTGTTTTTGAGACGTCTCACGCCTCCTTGTTTTTGAAACGTCTCACGCCTCCTTGTTTTTGAGACGTCTCACGCCTCCTTGTTTTTGAGACGTCTCACGCCTCCTTGTTTTTGAGACGTCTCACGCCTCCTTGTTTTTGAGACGTCTCACGCCTCCTTGTTTTTGAGACGTCTCACGCCTCCTTGTTTTTGAGACGTCTCACGCCTCCTTGTTTTTGAGACGTCTCACGCCTCCTTGTTTTTGAGACGTCTCACGCCTCCTTGTTTTTGAGACGTCTCACGCCTCCTTGTTTTTGAGACGTCTCACGCCTCCTTGTTTTTGAGACGTCTCACGCCTCCTTGTTTTTGAGACGTCTCACGCCTCCCTGTTTTTGAGACGTCTCACGCCTCCTTGTTTTTGAGACGTCTCACGCCTCCTTGTTTTTGAGACGTCTCACGCCTCCTTGTTTTTGAGACGTCTCACGCCTCCTTGTTTTTGAGACGTCTCACGCCTCCTTGTTTTTGAGACGTCTCACGCCTCCTTGTTTTTGAGACGTCTCACGCCTCCTTGTTTTTGAGACGTCTCACGCCTCCTTGTTTTTGAGACGTCTCACGCCTCCTTGTTTTTGAGACGTCTCACGCCTCCTTGTTTTTGAGACGTCTCACGCCTCCTTGTTTTTGAGACGTCTCACGCCTCCTTGTTTTTGAGACGTCTCACGCCTCCTTGTTTTTGAGACGTCTCACGCCTCCTTGTTTTTGAGACGTCTCACGCCTCCTTGTTTTTGAGACGTCTCACGCCTCCTTGTTTTTGAGACGTCTCACGCCTCCTTGTTTTTGAGACGTCTCACGCCTCCTTGTTTTTGAGACGTCTCACGCCTCCTTGTTTTTGAGACGTCTCACGCCTCCTTGTTTTTGAGACGTCTCACGCCTCCTTGTTTTTGAGACGTCTCACGCCTCCTTGTTTTTGAGACGTCTCACGCCTCCTTGTTTTTGAGACGTCTCACGCCTCCTTGTTTTTGAGACGTCTCACGCCTCCTTGTTTTTGAGACGTCTCACGCCTCCTTGTTTTTGAGACGTCTCACGCCTCCTTGTTTTTGAGACGTCTCACGCCTCCTTGTTTTTGAGACGTCTCACGCCTCCTTGTTTTTGAGACGTCTCACGCCTCCTTGTTTTTGAGACGTCTCACGCCTCCTTGTTTTTGAGACGTCTCACGCCTCCTTGTTTTTGAGACGTCTCACGCCTCCTTGTTTTTGAGACGTCTCACGCCTCCTTGTTTTTGAGACGTCTCAGCCTCCTTGTTTTTGAGACGTCTCACGCCTCCTTGTTTTTGAGACGTCTCACGCCTCCTTGTTTTTGAGACGTCTCACGCCTCCTTGTTTTTGAGACGTCTCACGCCTCATCACACGTGACTCTCCACCTCCCCGGGTATTCCGCCTAACCACCCTCTCTGCATGGAAAGGGATGCCGAAAGCAATGGATAGTGTTCGACTCTAGCATGAGAAAACAATATACAGTTTGTCTGATGCCGTGCCTGAGGTGGTGGTGGTGGCGTTGGCCCTCTGCCATACCTGTTGAACCAAGAAATGTATTGCAGTTGGGTGTAAACTTTGCTTCATCACACTGACCTTCCTGGGGCCGTTACAACCACCCTGTGCCCACTAACAAGCCACATTTTTTGTCCTGATTCACCGTCTCTTTTCTTGCTGTTTCAGCCTGAAATTTGATCCTGCTTCCTTACTACCAACCTTCGTTTTCCTCTTGCTTTTGAGAATTCTCAAAAGCTTCCAGCTTGCTCTTTGATTGTATCCCTGCTTCCTCACTAGTGCTCCCATGCTTTCATGAACTGGGGATGGCAAGGGATGCTGAAAGCAATGGATAGTGTTCGATTCTCCATGAGAACAAACCAGTGGTCTGTCTGATGCCATCCGAGTCTACATCCTTCTCTTCTTTTGCTCGCTCGTTCGTTTGAGACTCTGCACGTTCCCAAAAGCGACTTAATAGAACGCGCAGAGTCTCAAACGAACGAATCTCAAACGTGCAGCGGTTGTTGTGCACCACCAACGAACGAGTCTCAGAAGAATCGCTGTCTGATCTTATGCCACCAATGTCCAGAGCCTTCTCTTCTCTTCCTGTGCTCGCCTGTCGATTCCTCTTACTTACCTTGCAACACGTTTTGTCTTCTGTCTGTTACTGCTTCTTTTGGCTGTTGTCTTTTGACTGGACTAGAAAATCTTAGTTCCGCTTCCTTCTGATGCAGTGTGATTATCTGTCTCTTAGTGCTTCCTCTGCCTCTGGCTGCCTTGCGTCACCCCTTTCCTTGACAACTCATTCACCATCCCCTGGCATGTCCAGACTCGGCAAGTGATGCTGAAAGCATTTAATGGTAGTAACAAGGTTGATATTTTCCATGGAGAACAAGTCATGTTTGATGCCGTGAGAGCGTCTGCGCTTTTCTGCCTGTGCTCCTCTGTACCTCTTCCATCCCTTTCCACACGTTCGTCGGTCTGTTGTCTCTGGAATTTCTCAAAGATGTAGTCTCAAAAGCTTTTTGTTGTCTCGTGCCTAATTAACGTTCATGTCTGAAGCTCTGCCGTCCCTCACATCACGTCACATCTCATCATCATTCCCTGGGCTGTATACTGCCTCTGCATGCTGAGAATGGCAAGGGATGTTGAAAGCAATGGATAGTGTTCGACTCAAACCGTGAGAACAAGTTGGTAGTCAGTCTGATGCCATCAAAGTGTACAGAGCCTTCCATCGATCCATTGCAACCCGTTTGACACTCTGTTGTTGCTGCTTTGTCTTGCCGTCTGATGCCTCCCCTTCCCCTGACAACCCTGTCTCCATCTCCTTACATGTCTAGTGTCGGCAAGTGATGCTGAAAGTATGCGCAACTTTGATTTTTCCGATGAGAAGACAATATGAGTCTGTATGATGCCATGAGGGTCTACTGTTTTCTTCCTGTGCTGTGCTCGACTGCTCACCTTCCACTCCCTTTCCACACGGTCGTCAGTCTTGCTTGCATGTCTGTAATCTCTGGAGTCCTCAAGTTGTTAGTTTTGTCCTGTTGTCTCACGCCTCTTTCTAAGGTTATGCCTCATGCCCTGCCATCTCACATCTCATTGTCATTCCATGTGCTGACCTATGTATTCTGCCTCTGCATGCTGAGAACGGCAAGTGATGCTGAAAGCAATGGATAGTGTTCGACTCAATATATGAGAAAACTGTCTGTTTGTCTGATGCCATCACACCGTTCATCTTTTGCTGTCTGATGCAGTGGTTTTTTAGTAGTCATGGCTGTTTGGTTTGTACATGCCTCTCTTTTCCCGCCCTCTTTTTTTCTTGAGGGTTTTGGGTTGAAGGCTTTCTTTAAACCCAAAATTCAGAAAGAAGAAGAGAAAGAAAAGAAATTATATGTATCTTCCTAATTCAATCATCCTTGAAGACTGACTGACGTCTCCTCCTGTTACAAGTCGTACGTCTTTCCAAGCCAAGGGTGCATTATTCAACTTACGTGTTTAGACTGGGCAGATGATGCTGGAAGCAATGGATAGTGTTCGATTCTTTCCATGAGAACAAAAAAAAGGATACCATATCTGATGCCATTAGATTGTGCCTTCCTTTCGCCTCCATTTTCCTTTTCCGAACTTGTGATTTGCTCGCAGCAGTGGTAGACGTGGCAGCACAAGCAGCAGGCGTCAACCCACCATCCTACCCCGCTGTCTCCTTCCTCTCACGCTACCTTCGATTTCTACCCTCCTTTCCAGCCCGCCCCTCCCCCTTCCTTGCAGTAGAGGTGGACGTGGCAGCACAAATGGCAGACGCCAAGCCCGCATCCAACGCTGTGCTCCTCCGTCCTCTCACCAATCATCCGTCTCTCTCCTTTTCACACCTTCCCTTCCCGTTCACCGCAGCAGTGGTGGATGTGGCAGCGCAAGTGGCAGATGCCAAACCAGCATCGGCTGCTTCTGCACCCTCTTCTCCCACCACCAGCACCACCAGCAGCAGCACCCCTTCATCGTCGTCGCCCTCCACAGCCCCAGCAGAGGAGGCGGAGCAGAGCACGAAAAAGAAGAGCTTCTTTCAAGATGCTGAGGTGAGCGCCGTGCTGAGGTGAGCAGCACAGCGCCCATGATCGTGTGTGAGCAGACACGAGCAGCATGTTTGCCACAATCTCTCTCGCCCTGCCACCCCCCTCTGCCTCGCCCTGCCACCCCCCTCTGCCTCGCCCTGCCACCCCCCTCTGCCTCGCCCTCTGTAACAACTGCATGGCCTCCTGCTGTGTCACTATCTGGTGGAAGAGCTTTCGCTGGACTGGAATCACAGCAGCAGTGGAGAAGTATAGATTCGACCCAGATCCAATCCAACAGACAAATCTCGTTCTAGTCTTCACTATTCGTGCCTAGGCTAGATAGGGTTGAAGTAAACAAGGAATTATTATTTCCAACCGAGCGTACTCGTTTCGGCACAGTGGCCTTCATCAGCGGTTTACTGCTGTGTTGTGTCACAACTGGTGGAGGAGCTTTCACTGGAACACCAGCCGCAGCGGTAGCAATTCGTCTAATGTCACTTGGCCTCTCCCCATGTGTGCGCCCTGCCAGCTGGTGGAGGAGCCTTTCGGGGAGGCGGGTAACACCAGCAGCAGCACGGGCAGCAGAAGTAGCAACTCGTCTAATGGGATTTGCCCCGTGTCTCCTCCCTTCTGTTTGCCTCGCCAGGTGGTGGAGGAGCCATCTGGGGGAGGCTTCTCCTGGGGGAACACCAGCAGCGCCAGCAGCAGCGGGACCAATGCGTCCAATGCCACTTGGGATACGGCCACCAACTCGTTTGCCAATGGAGGAGGAGGTGGTGAGTGCTGTCCTGCAGTGCGGCAATTGAGACGTCTTTCCATTCAGCCCCGTCTGTTTTAAGGAGTGATGTGGAGTTTTGTAAGCAGCAGTGCCTCCTCTGTGGCATCTTCAGGCTGCCTTTGCAATCAGAGATGAACCACCATTTCCCTAGCAAGGTTCTGATTTTTTTTTTTTGGTCACCCCAAAATATCATGTTTGAAATTGCCATCATCATCACCATCCACGGATAATAATAGTTCTTCATGCCTTGGGTGTAAATACCATTGTTACCCTGAGCAGGAGGGGCTAAGGGCAAGATGACAGTGGAGGCGCTGGAGAAGATGCTGGAGGACCCCATGGTGCAGAAAATGATTTTCCCGTAAGTTTCCGGGTGTAATTGGCCGCATTGCCCCATGAGTGCCTTTATGCGTGCTCTGCTGGTTGTGTTTCAGTAACTCCATTTTCCTATCCCAACGCTTCCACCACTCTTGTCTTTCCATATCACTGAGGGATTCTCATCGGACCAGTCTGCAAGCTCAGCTGCTCTATTTGTCTCTGTCTCTCCTTGTCTCTCCTCCTCACACACATGTGCTGTCCTGCAGGTATCTTCCAGAGGAGATGGAAGATCTAGCCACCTTCAACTGTCTGCTCCTTCGCCCTGATGTCCTTTCCCCCCTCCCTACCTTCCCCTTCCTCCCCCCTTTCCCTTCTCCCTCCCTCACACGCGTGCTCCCCTGCAGGTATCTTCCAGAGGAGATGAGGGATCCAGCCACCTTCAAGTGTAAGCACCTCCGCGCGTCCTCTCCTTTCCCCTCCCCCCTTTCCCCATCACCCCACCCACACCTCCTTCCTTTCCAATTTCCCTGATTCGCCGCCCGCCTTTGCCCTTCACCACCTTTTATTGTGCGCACCTCCGCTCCTCCTTCCGCACCCTCTCCCACCACCTGCACTTGACTGTGCAGGCTCGCATCATCCATCCATCATTGTTCCTTTCGTTTTGCATCCGTCCTCTCTCTTGGTGCCCTCTCTCTCTCACACCTCTTTTGCTCGCTCCCCACCCCTCGTCCACCCTCCTCTGCCTGCTCCTATTCCTTCTCTTACTCTTTGCGTCTCTACCCGCCCCAACTCCCCACGCCCCAGCACCCATGTGCCTGCGCATGTCCCCATGCCCGCAGGGATGATGCAGACTCCCATGTACCGCCAGCAGCTAGCGACTATGCAGAGCTTACTCACCTTTCCCCCTCCCCTCCTCGCCCTTCTCGTTTCTCTTGCTGTCTCTCCCGGCCCATCCCACCTCCTCCCCCTAACCCCGCAGGCAACTCAAGAGCATGCAAAGCCTTACCTTCCACCTTCCTTCCATTCGTTTTCCTATTCCTTCTCTCTTGCTGTGTCCCTCTACTCTTCCCACCATGTGCCCCTAATTCCGCAGGGATGATGCAGAGTCCCATGTACCGCCAGCAGCTCGAGAGCATGCTGTGAGTTTCCCCTCTCTCCCCCGCATGCCCTCCCTTCTCTCCTTTCCCCCTCAACCTGCGTCTGTCTCCCTCTTTCCCATCCACCCTCATTTCTTCCAACACTACTTCCCCTCCTACATCCCACCACATGTGCCCTCCACCATGCTCCCTCCCTCCCTGCTCCCTTATCCCATGACTCGTTTCCCATGACACCATAGCCTTCCTCCTCCCCTCCTCTCCGCGCTTCCAGCACTGTCTCTCGACCTCTAAGGGCGCGTAACTTTTTCCGTTTTCGTCAAATGTCCGGACAGAGCCTCCAAACCGGCCGGACGGAGCCTTTAAACCGGGCCGGACGGAGCCTCCAAACCGGCTGGACGGAGCCTTCAAACCGGCCGGACGGAGCCTTTAAACCGGGCCGGACGGAGCCTCCAAACCGGCTGGACGGAGCCTTCGAACCGGCCGGACGGAGCTCCGTCCGGACGCTTGGGAATCAGGTCCGGACCGATAGGGCGTCCGGACCGCAATTGTGGAACTTTTTGCATTTTCGGAAAATAATATTTTCGCCACGAAATATAACGAGCATTACAGAAATCGTACGGCACATGACCCGAATTTCGCAGCACGTTATTGGTTGAGAGATTTACCCACTTCGTACCCCAATCACAGCGCAGCCAAAACGGACAGTCTGAAATTCCGTTCGGACTGTGTCGGCAAATTAGTCCGGACCACTTTTTGGAAGAAAAGTGTCAGATTTTGTCCGGACGGTAGCGATGTCGCAGGCGGCCTTGCGAAAGCCTAAACGAGCTGTTACGAAATTAGTTACCATACAAAAGTCCGGACGGGGCCTCCGTCCAGACGATGGAAAGTGAAAAAGTTACACGCCGTAAGCTCCCTCTCCTGCCTCTTGTACCAATGCATCTCATCTCGTCACATCGTTCCCTTATCTTCTCCTCGCTCCCCCGTGCTTCCCCCCCCCCCACCCCCCCCTTCCCTACAGCGACAACATGGGAGGCACGGGTTTTGACGACCGGGTGCTGGAGATGATGAAGAGCTTCGACCTCAACAGCCCCGAAGTCAAAGACCAGTTCTGTGAGTGCTTAGTTTTTTTTTTTTTTTTTGTTTTTTTTTTTTTTAATCAAGAGCTGCACTAGAATTGTACCACAATAACAAATTCTCTAAACTCGCCTTTCTCGCCCCCTTGCCCCCCCTTCAGCCCAGCTGGGCATGTCACCAGAGGACGTGGTGGGTAAGATCATGTCCAACCCGAAGCTCGCCGCTGCCTTCCAGAACCCTCGCCTGCAGGCCGCCATCCTCGATGTGAGTGCTGCCCTGACCTCGTTATAGTCATCGTTTTTTAGGTTCGATATAAGTGTTCTTCCTGCATGCATCCTGGCTTGAGTGTATAACATGTGTATGGTTGTATCCTGTAGGCCTTCATGCTGTTTGATTTTTCGTTGACACAATTTCCTGCTGCACCTACTGACATGTGTAGACGCATGCATTGTGTGGCATTGGCCATCGTCATATCATGCATTGTGTGGCATCAGCCATCGTCATATCATGCATTGTGTGGCATCAGCCATCATCATATCATGCATTGTGTGGCATCAGCCATCGTCATATCATGCATATTTCCTGTATCTTGTCCCCATGGCTTGATGGCATGGCATGTATGCTGCCCCCCAAAACCTTGTGGCATGACATGGCATGTTTTTTTGTCCATCTGGCATGAACCTTGGGATGACATGGCATGTCTCTTGCCCCTATGGCATGGCATGACATGCATTATATCCACATGCCATGGCATGGCATGGCATGGCATGGCATGCATCCTAACAGGTGTCCTCCAATCCCATGAACTGGACCAAGTACCAAAACGACGCTGAGGTAAGCAAGCACGATGATGAGGTAAGCAAGCACGATGCTGAGGTAAGCAAGCACGATGCTGAGGTAAGCAAGCACGATGCTGAGGTAAGCAAGCACGATGCTGAGGTAAGCAAGCACGATGCTGAGGTAAGCAAGCACGATGCTGAGGTAAGCAAGCACGATGCTGAGGTAAGCAAGCACGATGCTGAGGTAAGCAAGTACGATGCTGAGGTAAGCAAGCACGATGCTGAGGTAAGCAAGCACGATGCAAATGTGAGCAATAAATAAAGAGACGCGCCAATCAACTCAGTGCGGGCTGGACGGTATCAGTACCCAGCAGCCCTACAGGATGGTACCCGCATCTTCCAGCCGGTTGGTTTCTGCACTGCTGCTCCCATGCCTGCACTGCTGCTCCCATGCCTGCACTGCTGCTCCCATGCCTGCACTGCTGCTCCCAGGCCTGCACTGCTGCTCCCAGGCCTGCACTGCTGCTCCCAGGCCTGCACTGCTGCTCCCAGGCCTGCACTGCTGCTCCCAGGCCTGCACTGCTGTTCCCAGGCCTGCACTGCATGGCACCCACGTGGCTTGGGATATTTACGAGTCGATTCGGTCTGATTTAAACCCGCGGTGATTCATCAACCATCTATAAGGCATCTAGAGTGGTCAATCCGTGGTTCCGACCAGCCCACGAGCACCTCATCCTTGGATGCTGGTGAATTCTCCGCCAGAGTGTCTTCCCCGCGTATTCCCCTAAACCCGGCATTGTTCTCCACTCCACCAGAGCCCGGGCAAGCACTCTGGCTCGTGATGGAGGTTCTCGATTATATGCAGGAGCTTTTCCCCATCGCACGAATGTTATTTTGTTACTATTTCTGGATGGGCCTTCCCCTCATTGTCCCTTCCCCACATTGTCCCTTCCCCACATTGTCCCTTCCCCACATTGTTCTCTCCCCTCCACCCAAACCTGGTTGGTATTTACACTGGCTGGCAGGTGATGGAGATCTTCAACCAGATCCAGGAGCTTTTTGCCCCATTGCATTGATTTTCTTTTGTAATCATGTCTGGTGTGCCCTCCCCTATTCGAACCCGGGTCGTACTTGCACTGGCTGGCAGGTGATGGAGATTTTCAACCAGATCCAGGAGCTCTTTGCCCCGCGCTGAGGATTCGTTTCACTCCGTGGTTTTCTTGGGCTCCTTCAGATTACAAGTAGACGCCAGACGCAGCCTTTTGTTTGTTTGGTTGAAGTCACAGCAGGGTGTACTAGAAGCAGGCTTAGGTTATTAGTGAAAGATTGCTTGTTGCAGAAGCTTCCACTGGTGCAGCCGCCATGGTTTGATGGCTGACATTACCGTTGTACTGGGGGAGATTGGTAGGTTGGCTCGGCTCCCGAAACTGTTTGCTGATATGTAACTAGTTAAGGACTGTAAAAGAATGAACAACTTGTGGCTGTTAGAAAGTTCTCCCAGAATTGTTGTGAAAGGCATTATTATAGGAGCATCACTAAAAGCTGGTGGCATACACTGTAGTATATCCTGCTTCTTTATGCGGCAGTTTGAACACCCTTCTTTTTCATCATTCTGTACCAGACGAGGCAACGATACAGAAACCATTCTGCTGCTGATCTTTTCATCTCCCTAAACCGTTTGGCACAGCATCTGTACCGTACACAACCAGTAGTTTCGAATGCTGTAAATCAACTTCCCGACATTTCGGGGACATAATCAACGCTGCATCTGCGCGATTCCAGCCGGCGAAGTATCCAGTTCATAATCCTGACGTGTCGCATTTGAACACGGCCAACCATTCTGGAAATAATCAAACCGTTTCAAACCTTTGTTAATCGACAATGAGGACTCCGCGACAAATCCAGTTGGGAGCGCTGCGGAAGGGGGTTCCATCTAGGGCGCTCCTCGATAATTTCACACCCCTTAATCGCACACCCAGAGGCATATACCCTAAGTCAAACGATCTCGTAGGGTGGTTACAAACGTTTAGGAAATCCCCGGAAGGGGTCCGACGTACTTTCGTGAACCATCAGGGTGCACCAAGAATATATATGGGAACCCAAACCTGACTAAACCCTTCACTCCAAATACAAAGTGCGAGTTTTGTTCTAGAGATCGCCTGCCCGTTGTCTACTAATAGTCCCTCAATCTCTGGGTGACCGTCGCATCACGCCAAATACCGTAAATGGGACATAAGAAAAAAGGGCGGATGTGCAGTTATCCCCTTCCCACTCGCCTCGGCTATCGATCACAAGCGCGCAGATAGTGGTCCCACCACCAGGGCCCCCTCCCCCCTCCCCTTACCCGCCCCCCGCTTCTCACCATTTCCGCCCTCCCCTCCCCTCTCGCTCCCAGCCGCCATTTGTTGCTTCGACACTCGGAAAACACCTGCAAAACCAAACCAAGTCACTGCCCCTCCAAGCTAGCACACTCGACCAAGATGACACCCACACAAAGCCAGGGAGATTCACTCGGTGTGAATTCATTCCGTTCTCCTGTTAGTATCAACATCTCTGCGAACTCCAACCTTTACGCCTATCCGCCACTAGCTGTCGATCGTTTCATATTCACATTCTCTGATATCGCAACAGCCTGTTCAGCTGAGTGTATACACGTCAGCCGCCATGTCAGTCCGAACGCTGCTGCTAGCTGCTCTCCTTTCGCTGTCGCTATTTGCGACAGCTGCGGACCCGTTGGCGAAAGCTGCGGACCCGTTAGCGACTGCTGCGGACCCGTTAGCGACAGCTGCGGACCCGTTAGCGATAGCTGCGGCTGCGGCGAGAACGGCGGGAATCATAGGGGAGCTGAAGGCGTTGCGGCAGAAGCTGATGCTAAATCCCCGTCTAAGATACCTTGTCATGAGTCAAGTTCTTTCTCAGCTGATTACTCAAGGAAGTAAGACCGTTTACGATCATCGTCTTTTATATATGTTTGTCGGGCTGTGTGATTCCAGAACCTACCTGTGCTGACTTAGAAAAACTCGGGTCTGCATCTCCCTTGTTCCCTTTCCCTGCCGCGACTCGCGCTCGATTAAAAGGGCTTCTAATCTCAGCTCAAACTCTACCAACAACTTCCTTCATTTTTCCGTCCAGATTCAATTCATGCCCCCGTTTACACCGTTTTACACCTTTCTCTTAACAACCAATTGACACGAAACGCACATTCCGTCGTCTCTTACAGAAGCCCTTCCCGCCGCCATCCACTCGATCCCTCTTATTCAGATCACCATTTTGAGGCGCCTTAAAAGTCATTCATTCGCATAATTCGCTCATTCCGTCATCCCCCATCCACCTCCTTCCCATCCCCTCCACTCGTCCCTCGCAGAAGCCCTCCCCACCGCTATGGACTTGACCCTTTTCCTTCACACCACCATCTTAATACCCACCGACGCCGCGCTTCTATCGAGTGGCCTCCTCCCGAATCTAAAAAACCCGGGAGCCTCACTCAACCTCTTTAAGAGCCTCTCCTTCAACATCATAAAAGGCAAGAAGCGGTTCGCCAAGCTGAAAGCTCTTCCAGAGGGAAAGTCGGTTGCGCTTTTGCTGAACAATGGGAAACTGTTTCGGCACACAGTGAGTCCTGGGTGGGGCATGAATCAAGGCACTAGCGTGGCGCTCGCGCTCAAGGGGAAGAATAAAAAACAGTGGTCGAGAATTCTTGACAAGAATCTGCACAGAGGAAGTTTCGTTGCTCATGGGGTTGACCGCCTGCAGACTGCTTGAAACGCTTGACCGGTTCAACAGAAGCAGATTTTGGAACTGCTTCAGTGGGAGGTCATCCAACCCACCAAGCTTTCTCTTGTTCATACTGTTTGAAGGTAAATAAGTTCCGAAGTCTCTGGGTCTGGCTTGAGATGAGTGAACCTCTTGTTCTGTCATCCTTTGATCTACATTCTTTGGTGTAATTAGGAGGCTCATTGAGGCAGCTGTGCCTCCACCTGCAATGCAATACTATTTTGGTTAGGAAGGTATCTCAACTGACACAAAGCAGATGAATCATGGACACAGGCAATCATTACACACTCACATGGAGAGGAGAAGCATGACTTGGTGCCGTGTTGAGTAAGGCTACCAAATGAGTTGGTGGCTGTCTCTGATGGAAAGTTGAAGTCATTTTTGTGGTATTTAGATTCGTTCATCTACTTTCTAAACCAAAACTACTCGAATCGCATAACGGAATAAACGTCTTGAACAAGCTTCAGTGTTCTCTTTCTAGCATAGGCTCTCACTAGTGCACTTCCTAGCTATCCTACCCAACTGATGTTTTTCTTGCATTTTTCAACGACAGGTGGGCCCTTCCTCCAGCCTCGAAATGCACAGCGCTTGTACAGTGTACTCTGCGATTTCGTACCGACAGAACCAGATGCCGTACGCCCGATCCACCGACCAAAGTGGAGGGAAAAGGATGGAGGGCTCGATCCTGGAGGCAACATCTCTGCGTCTCCAAGCGCGCATCATTCGGGACTCTGCATCATCCTGACGAGTCAAAAATGAAGACGGCAAACCGTTCTGAAACGTTCAACAATTGATGTCAAACCGCTTAACCCAAGCGTTCTGCTGTGGAGAAAGCAGATACAGTCGGTACATCTGAGACAGCTAGCCGCACCGTCAATTCTGCTCGACGGTCCATCATCGGCTCCCCCCCCCCCACCTAGGCAGACACAACCTGTCTGCTTGGTTGGATCCACACTGAACAAAGACAACACAAATGAACTACCCCCGCCCACCAAGCTTGTTCCTCCCTTCCCCCCCGAACCGAACCGAACCCATCCCCCTCGCCCCCACTCCCTGTCTTTCCCGTCATGGGCTCAAGCCCCCCCTCCCCGCCATTTCTTCCTTCCAAATTCCCCTCCCAGCCGCCATTATGGGTTTCGAATGCCAAAAGCACCTGCCGCAGTCGTCATTCCTTTGATCCACACCAGACCTGGTAGATTCCACACAGAGCCAGACTAGACTCGCTAGCTTACACGACTGTCATATCTGTATCAAGAAAACCTCTTTCGATGTCCTAACATGATTGTCGCCAATTCCGGCAGTCCCTATTTCACAGATTCCACCCTGACTAATTTAGAACAGTGTCGACATGTCATCCGCCATGTCAGCCCGAACGATGCTAGTTTTGCTGCTTTCATTGCCAATACTCGTGTCAGCTGCGGCGGTGCCGCCAACGACGGCGCAAATAATATTGGAGCTGAAGGATCTACAGAGCAAGTTGGCTAAGAACCCCTTCCTGAGATACCTTGGCATGAGTCAAGTTATTTCTCAGCTTATTGTTCAAGGAGGTGAAAACCTGCACGCCGTTTTCCGTTTTTGTCCTTCTCTCTAAATCTTTAGTGATATTATATAAAAGAACAGAAGTTTTGTGTTGTTACGTTCGCTGCATCTCCCGGCTTTCTTTCCTTGCCGCGACCTGGCGTAACGGAAACAGCAAAGATATCTTCGACTCTTGTTCGACTTGCCACCGACGCCCCCTTCCCTACTTTCTCGGAGGGTTCCTCCGCCATGAAACCAATGCCAACAACTCGTTTTTTTTTTCGGAGCCACACTCGTCAGCCCCCCATTGACACGCTTCTCGCAACCATCCGAGTCGAGTTGGTTGATTTGCTCGCGATACTTAACTTTCGCCTTTTTCCATCCGCTTCACTCCGTCCCTCGCAGAAACCGTCCCCGCCAGCATCGACTGGTCCCCCTTCGCCTACAACACGCTCCTAATTCCCACCGACGCCGCGCTTCTCGCAAGCGGCCTTCTCGTTGAGCCGAAAACCCCGGAAGAGGCACTCAACCTTTTTAAAAGCATCTCCTACAATATCATTAAGGGCATGAAGCCGTTCTCCCAGTTGAAGGCTCTTGCTGTTGGAAAATCTGTTACGCTTTTGCTGAACAACGGAAAGTTGTTTAGACAGAAGGTGAATCCTGGGTGGGGCATTAATCAGGGCACTGCCGTGGCGTTCGCGCTCAAGGGGAAGAATAAAACTCAGTGGTCGAAGATACTTGACAAAGATATACACAAGGGACGCAGCTTCATTGCTCATGGGGTTAACCGCCTGCAGACTACGGGTGCTGAAGGTGCTTGAATGGTCCGAAGCCTTCGGGAGTACGGGAGTACCGAGAGTGAGGTGAGGGTTCCGTCAACCCACAAAAAGCTGATTGGGTCCCAACTTTACTGGGTCTGGCTGGCTTGAGATGAGTGAACCGTTGTTCCTCGTTTTTTTATCATATAGTAATAATGTATAATGGTGGCATATTGAAGCAGCTGTCCCCCCTTGTGACACCTGGGCTGGTTTTGGGTGGGAAGGAAAGGCTCTGCCTATTATACTCACATCAACAAAAGCTGTCTTAATTGAGTGTTATTTGTATCAGCATGTTTCGTACATTAGGTGTAAGGGCTGGTCAAACAATGCACGTTTTTGCAGAAAACCCAACCCAACCATCTGTTGTTTAAATTAGACCGCTCTAGAGTCTAAACCGCATTCGGATGTACTGTTTGGACCACCACTAAGATTGAATGTGCAGAGAAGATGCTTGTAGGATAGGAATTATGCTGTGTGTCCCACAACCGAGACACACCTCTTCACCCACCACCACCCTGTTACGCTGCGAATCCTGTTTGACAGTTACATTGCACATATGACAAAAGGGAGGGGCACAGTGCCATGCTAAAGTTCCAACCCAGCGCACACGCTGTGCTGTTTCCGGAAGGGGGCTGGGAAAGGGTGCCCTGGAATGGGGTGGCGGGGAGGGAGCCACACCTCCCCCATCTCCCCCTCGGGCTCTCTCCCGCCTTCCCCCAGCCTGGCAACCGATTCCCCGTCTCCTCCACCCCATCCTGTCTTCTCCGCGCTGCTGTCCCCTCCCTTTCCGTAGCCGCCCACAGCCCAAGCCCAACCAGGAACCTGGTTCTCGAAGACTCGAACCAAGCCGACACGTCAGCAAGACTTGTCTGGTCTTGTGGCTTGCGTTGAGTCGCGACGCGAGCGGGGTGCAAATGTGTCCTGTGAAACAGTGGATCCAACCTTTTTGAACCGTATCATACTCATGTGGAGTCTGTTAATTTGCAGCCATAGCTCTGCCGTGAAACATTGTACAATCATCTCTTTCCACCACGCTTTTCACTCCTCCAACCCACCACAAAGCACCAGTCTTTTCGTGCTTGCTGGTCTGGTCTGGTCTTTCCTGCCGCAATATTTCCTCGACTCGAAATTTTTTCGTCTGTAAATGCATATGGCGAAGAGCAGACCGACTCGAAGCCTCTTGTTTCTCCCTACCCTCCCTGTCGGGCAACTCTCCTCCCTGCATCACAATTACGTGCTCTAGCCCTGAGTCATACGTTTCGTTCACAAATCATTCAATTCATGCAGCAACGATAGTGTTTTTTTAACTCACCGTTAGAGGCCATGTCAACCCGAGCCTTTCTAGCTGTAGTCCTTACGCTGACCCTAGTCACTTCGGCCGTGGCTCCGCCGACAACGCAGCAGATACTTAAGGAACTAAAGGAGCTAAAGGACAAGCTATCGAAACGATTCCAGTTCATAATCATGAATCAAGCAGTCGGTCAAATTATCGAGCAGGGAGGTAAGCCCTTAGCGCTGGCGAGTCTGCCTTCCGTGAGATTTATGTGTTTGCGTTGTCGCCGGGTCTTCAGGACATGCTAGAAGAGACCAATTTCGTTGCATCGTCTTCACTCTGGCCTTTTCCATGCCACTCCCCAACCCTTCCCATTTCCGTCCTTTGCAGCGACGGTTCCCGGTGACATAGACTGGTCCCCCTTCTTTTACAACACGGTCTTAATCCCCACCGATTTTGCGCTTAAGGAGAGTGGCCTCCTCGCGGAGCCAAAAACCCCCGAAGATGCGATCAATCTCTTAAAAAGCATTTCGTACAACGTCGTCAAGGGCATGTATCCATTTTCCAAGATAAAAGGCCTACCTCTCGGGTCGTCGATTCCGCTTCTACTCAACAATGGCAAGCTTTTCCGGAGAAAAAAAGTATCCAGATTTCTGATGTTCAAAACAACAGAAGTGGCGCTCGCGCTGAAGGGGAAACCGAAAGGCAATTGGTCGACGATCGTTGGCAAGAATCTGCACAAGGGAAGCAGCTTCATTGCTATTGGCGTAAGCCGACTACAGACCACTGGTTCTTGAGGTTGTAAGTCATCAAGGGCAACGGAGACTTGAAATACTCTAGTGGAATGAGATTGTTTCCGAGGAAATTGTTTCATTTGTTTATTTTGTTGGGTTTCAATTAATTTATAGTGTACCAAGGTATGGTATGGGACAGGGGTGGGGTATGGGAATAAGGTGCTGAAGTAGGTGGTGAATTTTTTTATTTAGGGTGGGGGATTTAGGGTGGCTTTTGCAATGGGCTTCTAACTAGGAGTCTTTGAGTGCAGTAGTTTCTATCGTACGGTAATTGAATTGCATGTGAACACAAAAAGTGAGGGAAGCTTGTGCTAGTCACACTATACTTGTGTAGCATGATGAACCTTTTAGCCGGTGTTCTTTCCTTACCATGTAGTGAAACACTCACTGTCGGACCATACCTTAGGGCGCGTCACCTCTGGTGGTAACCAGCAGTTCGAACGTCCGAATTCTGGGGGTTGAGTTTGGTACAGTACTTTTTGGAAAACAGCCAGTCTGGTTTAGTACGGTGCACGTTCGAACAGGCCTATTCGAACGTCCGAGGTGACGCGCCCTAACCTCGGCTCCATCCTCCGAATGCATCTCGCAGCTCTTTTCTCCCTCGATTTCTTGTGCTGGTGCTGCTAGTCATCTGCTTGTTGATTTTACCTGCTGAATCTCGCGAAGCAGCTAGTGCCGCGGCACCGGCAGTTCTACATCTTCCAAGATCGAGCTGCGATCCCACGTTATTTCACGCGTTTCCGAGAAGTTCTAAGAGGGGTTTTCCTTTCCAGCGCGGTAACGCTTAAAAGAGGTCGTGGGTCCGGCAGGCAGGCAGGCATGGAGGAGGACGATCGGTCAATCGCGGCGCCCGAGGGGAAGAACAAGGCGATCGACTACGACAAGCTCGAGAGGGACGTGGACCACCAGCGAGATGTGGCTCTCAAGGTAGTAGGGTTTCCCGGTTACTCGTCTCGGCGTGTTCTCAGGCGCCCTGTAGCGCAGGCAGTTGGTGTAGCCATGTTGACGAAGCGATTGGAGTTTTAAAGTGTTGCAACCGCACCTATGTCGTCCATGGGTCATAAGCGTCAGTGACCGGCGTTGTAGATAGTGGTTGGTGCAGCCATGCTGACGAGGCTATTGTAGCCGTGGATAGCGATTGCGCGCCGTCGTCTTGTACAAGGGGCGGCAGCCGTGTAAAAACCTTTTTGTGTGCGTGGACGGGACGTTGATGGGGCGTGCAAGGGACGTGCACGGGCGTGACGCGATTCGCATGTGCGCGTCGTCGACGACGCCCGTTAAGAGATGCTCTGGAAGTGCGGCCTCTTGTAATGAAATTTATGGGGGGAATTCATGGGGAATTCATGAAGAGATGGTGCGGACTTGGATACGGATGCGGATCGATGTAGATTTGATGCGGATCGACGATGCAGTCGCGAGCGCGACGTGCGATGCGGATACGGTCGGTGCTCTTCGTCCGTCAGACCGTGAACCGGCGAGATGCGAGTGTTTGTCGTTACAAAGCCTTTACAAAAAAAAACTGCCCTTCTGGTCGGTCCACGGCCGTGCACTCAGGGAACGTTCTTTCGCATCCTGTTACAGATGGGTCACGCCCCCTGTTCTGTTTAGGTGAAGTCCCTTCGTATTTCTGGTTCGGTTTCCAAATCTGTGCCCGTTTCGGATCCTTCGTTTTCTTGTGTGCGAGCAGGAAGGCAGGTTGACTGAAGCTCTCGATGCGCTGCTGGGCCTGGAGAAGCAGATGCGCCTGGTGCGACGCGAATCCTCTCTCCCTCCCTCTCCTTCCAACCTCTCTCTTTCTCTCTCTCTCTCTCTCTCTCTCTCTCTCTCTCTCTCTCTCTCTCTCTCTCTCTCTCTCTCTCTGTCTACGCTCTCTTTTCTCCTCTTTCTCTCACTCTCATCCCTCTTTATCTCTCTTCGCTCCCTTTTTCCTTTCCTCATACCACCACCTGTCTCGTTGGTTGCTCATGTGCCCCCCCTGTCATGCCCCAGTCGTTAAGCGTTGCATCATCCGATTCGGCCTGGCACCTGATTTTGCCCCCCTGAATCTGCCCGCCCACCTGAATCTGCCTACGCTTTCACCAAATCTTGTCCGTCCAAATTTTTACTGACTTATTCTCACGAGATCGTGTTCGTCCAATGATCAACAAGGCAACCAACCAACCACCAACCAACTTACGAACCACCCATGCCCAGGCTGCTGACGTGGTCGGGACGCGCACGGTGGCAGTGGCCATTCTCAAGGTCTGCCATGATGCAGCTGCGTGGAAGCTTCTAAACGAGCAGATTGTTGCGCTGTCGAAGCGCCGAGCGCAGCTGAAGCAGGTGGGAAGCTTCAATGGTATTCAGTGTCGGCATGTGGTTGATGGATGGGTGGGTGATGGGGGAGTGGGGATTGGATGGGTGGGTGATGGGGGAGTGGGGAGTGGGTGACGGGGGATTGGTTGATGGATGGGTGGGTGATGGGGGAGTAGGTGAGTGGGCCATCCACTATGCATCATCCATCGTGCACCATGCAACATCCCCATACTCTTTGATTCTTGCTTTCTTCACATCATGCTTAATCCCCTTCCCATCCCCATATCCACCATCTTACACAACGCTTTTGGCCATGCCCACATGCGCACACGTCTTCATGCACCCATCTCCCCATACATGTATGCATGCATGCCCCCATCACCCCATACATGTATGCATGCATGCCCCCATCCGGACTCCCCCATGCTCCCGTGCGCCCCATCCGCTCACCCCAGTTAGTGGCGGCGATGAAAGGACATGGATGGATGACGCTCCGCATGTCCCCATGCGCCCACTTCCCCACGCCCCCATGCTCATGCCCCCATGCTCATGCCCCCATGCTCATGCCCCCATGCCCCTCCGTACCCTTCCCTCCACTCCCCCGCGCCCACTTCCATGACCCCGTGCCAGGTGGTGGCGGCAATGGTGCAGGAGGCCATGAAGTACGTGGATGACGCCCCAGATGACGTCATCCGCGAGGAGCTGATCAAGACGCTCAGTGGGGTCACGGCGGGCAAGGTGTGTTTCTGGGGGGGGGGGGGGGGGAAGGTGGGGAGGGGGGCGAGGTTGGGCTCTGAGGGGAGGGGGGCAAGGTTCGCCGATGGAGGGGAGAGGGGGAGTGAAGTGAAGTGGAAGGGTAGAGGAGGCCAAGGTGCGCCTTTGGGGTCTAGGTGCGCCTTTGGGGTCTAGGTGCGCCTTTGGGGTCTAGGTGCGCCTTTGGGGTCTAGGTGCGCCTTTGGGGTCTAGGTGCGCCTTTGGGGTCTAGGTGCGCCTTTGGGGTCTAGGTGCGCCTGGGGGAAGGGAGAGGGACAGGGAAGAGGGAAAGAGCAAGGAGCTCTTCTGGAAGGTGGGTGGGATGGGAGGGGGAGAGGGGCATGGTGCGCGTGGCGCCGCAGTTGTCCATCGCTCTGCCCATGGCGCAGCGCAGACAGGCATTATATGTTCGATGATGGCTCCGTCCATTTCCCACCCCCCCTTGACATTGCACCTGCCAGCGAACCTGCGTGGCGCAACAGTTGCTCATCTGCCCAACAACCACAACACCCCCCGCCCCCCTCTCGCCCCCCCCTCCTCCCTCCCCTTCCCTTCTTCCCCACCAGATCTACGTGGAGATAGAGAGGGCGCGCCTGGTGAAGCGCCTGGCGCAGCAGTTGTTCACCTCCCTGCCTCTCCACCCTATACCCCCCGCCCCCCACCAGATCTACGTGGAGATAGAGAGGGCGCGCCTGGTGAAGCGCCTAGCGCGCATGAAGGAGGCAGAGGGCAAGGTGAAGGAGGCGGCTGAAATCATGCAGGAGGTGGCGGTGAGTGCTCTCCTGCCCAATTATGCTCTGGTGGTGACTGTGCTCTCTCTCTCTCTCTCCCTCTCTCTCGTGGCAAGAAGGTGAGGTGAGGACGCGGAGGGCAAGGTGAAGGAGGCGGCTGAAATCATGCAGGAGGTGGCTGAAATCATGCAGGAGGTGGCTGAAATCATGCAGGAGGTGGCTGAAATCATGCAGGAGGTGGTGGTGAGTGCTCTGGTCCGCCGTTGCTCTGCTGAGTGCACCACGCCCTTGCTGTGAGTGCACCACGCCCTTGCTGTGAGTGCACCACGCCCTTGCTGTGAGTGCACCACGCCCTTGCTGTGAGTGCACCACGCCCTTGCTGTGAGTGCACCACGCCCTTGCTGTGAGTGCACCACGCCCTTGCTGTGAGTGCACCACGCCCTTGCTGTGAGTGCACCACGCCCTTGCTGTGAGTGCACCACGCCCTTGCTGTGAGTGCACCACGCCCTTGCTGTGAGTGCACCACGCCCTTGCTGTGAGTGCACCACGCCCTTGCTGTGAGTGCACCACGCCCTTGCTGTGAGTGCACCACGCCCTTGCTGTGAGTGCACCACGCCCTTGCTGTGAGTGCAAGTGCCTTCGCCGGTGATACCCTTCCTGCCCTAACCATTGCTCTCCCGTTGTGCCATTGCCCCCCCCCCCCCCCCCCGATTCCTCCTCCTCTAATCTTACATTTTCTTTCGCTCACTCCTCTCCACTCCTCCCCATCCCACTGTGCTTCGCTTTGACGCCAGGTGGAGACATTCGGAGCCATGGCAAAGACTGAAAAGATCGACTTTATCCTCGAGCAGGTGAGCAGCCCAACAGGTGAGCTGGTTGCAGATTGTTTTTGGGAATTCGCAGAAACAATAAAAGACAGAGAACATCGACTTTATCCTTGAGCAGTGAGCAGCCGAACAGGTGAGCAGCCGAACAGGTGAGCAGCCGAGCAGGTGAGCAGCCGAACAGGTGAGCAGCCGAACAGGTGAGCAGCCGAACAGGTGAGCTGGTTGGTGAGCGTTGACTCTACCATCATAGCTCTCAATGCGTCATATTGTCTGGGGAACAGGGGGACTTGGATAACTTGTTGCCCGTGCCGATCGGATCGCGCTGCCTGCCTCCCCCATCCCCAACCGCCACCACCTCCCGTTCCTCCTCTCTGTGCCTCGTCACGTCACCCCCCTCCGTTCTCTGCGTTAGGTCTGACTGTGTGTGCACTCACGCTGCTTCATGCACTGCACGGGCACTGTAGATCATTTCAACCCTAATCCACAAACCGGGAACCCTCATCTGTCTCCTTCAGGTCTGTGCCTCAATTCAGGTGACTTCATGCGGGCACAAAAAACCTCGCAATAAAGATTAGCCCGCATGCATTCGCCTCCGAGACTGTGGAGGCTGCTGAAAGGATGTTGAATTCTCATCCTCTCTCTCCCGCCCTTTCCCCTCTACTCCAGGTCCGCCTGTGCCTCGATTCAGGTGACTTCATGAGGGCACAGATCCTCGCAAAGAAGATTAGCCCACGTGCATTTGCTTCTGAGACCGTGGAGGCTGCTGAGAAGGCCAAGGCGGAGGCCGCTGCAGCAGCAGCGGGTGGCGGGGGGAAGGAGGAGGGGAAGAAGAAGCGGAAGGGGCCCAAGGAGGAGGGGGAGATTCAGCCTGCTGCGCCTGATGTGCCCACGCTGGTGGAGCTGAAGCTCAAGTTTTATGAGCTCATGATCCGGTGAGGTGCTGTGCGGTTCTGTGTGGTGATGTGAGGTTGGGTATGGTTTGAGAGGGTGTGGACTGGTGAGGTGCAACCAGGTGATGATGCTGTGAATAGGTGAAGGCAGAAGAGGAGGGGGCCCAAGGAGGAGGGGGAGATTCAGCCTGCTGCCCCCGATGTGCCCACGCTGGTGGAGCTGAAGCTGAAATTCTACAAGCTCATGATCCGGTGAAGTGCTGTGCAATGCTGTGTGGTGAGATGTTGTTTGGTGTGGTATGAGAGTGTGTGGGCTGGGTGAGGTGCTACAAGACAAGGTGATGATGCTGTGAGTAAGTGAAGGAAGTAGAAACGGAAGGGTCCCAAGGAGGAGGGGAAGATTCGGCCTGCTGCACCTGATGTGCCCATGCTGGTGGAGCAGAAGTTAAAGTTTTATGAGCTCATGATCCGGTGAGGTGCTGTGGGGTGAAAGATATTGTTGGGTGTGGTTTGATTTGAGAGCGCATGGCTGATGTGCTCGCACTGCTAGAGCTGAAGCTCGTGTTTTCGATGTGCTCTATGCGCTCATTATTTGGTGAGGTGCCATGAGGTGCCAAGAGGTGCCATGAGGTGCCATGAGGTGCCAAGAGGTGCCATGAGGTGCCATGAGGTGCCAAGAGGTGCCATGAGGTGCCATGAGGTGCCATGCGGTGCCAAGAGGTGCCATGAGGTGCCATGAGGTGCCATGGGGTGCATCAAACTCCCGACTCCGCTTGTCTCTTATCGTCCACTCCCTTCTCTGCAGGTATTATATGAATGCAGGTGACTCATTGGCAATCTGCTACTGCCACCATGACATCTTTGGCTGCGTAGGCATCTCAATCCCTCACTCCACTATCCGTGATCTCCCCTTCCCCCTCGCTGCAGCTACCACACAAACGCGAGTGACTATCTGGAGATCTGCCGGTGCTACCAGAACATATACGACACGCCAGCAGTCAAGGCCGACCAGGAGCGCTGGATCCCGGTGAGCGCTGGATCCCGGTGAGCGATGGATCCCGGTGAGCGCTGGATCCCGGTGAGCGCTGCCTTGCCTGCTTCTGTGCCGTATGAGGGCTTGCCTGCTGCATGTGCGCGTTGCTACGTGCTGATGTATGGTGCTGCACGCCTGTCACTCATGCGCCCATCACGTTCTTCCTCGGGTCTAAGCACATGCTCCATACATCTCCCTTTCTCCAGGAGTTGAAGAAAATATGCTGGTACCTGGTGCTGGCACCGCACGGCAGCATGCAGTCGTCCCTACTCTACCCACACCCACCCGCATCCACCCACTTCCACCCACTTCTACCCACTTCTACCCACTTCTACCCACTTCCATCCACTTCCACCCACTTCCACCCACATTCACGCCGCTTCCTCCAGGTGTTGAAGAAAATATGCTGGTATCTGGTGCTGGCGCCTCACGGCAGCATGCAGTCGTCTCTCCTCCACTCCACCTTTGCTGACCCGCACCTCCTCGACCTCCCTAAGTTCCGGTAACCGTCATTCCCGCATTACCTCTCGCGACTGCTCTGTATCACAAGTACTTCTACCTGCTCCCACCGCTCTGCACCGCTTTCTCCTAGGCCCTCACGGCAGCATGCAGTCGTCTCTCCTCCACTCCACCTTTGCTGACCCGCACCTCCTCGACCTCCCCAAGTTCCAGTAACCCTCCTCATCTGCTTTTAATCATCATCAGCCACTCTCAACCACTTTCCGCTACTCTCTAGCACCTTCACCCACTCTCACCGCTCTGCACCGCTGCCTCCCAGGTTTTCACAGCAAAATGCACTCCTCTATTCTTCATTCCACTTTAGGCAATTGACCCGCACCTCCTCGACCTACCCAAGTTCCGGTAACTGTCCGGTAACTGTCACTCCCAACTGCATCACCTCCCATCAACCGCGTTCACCTTCTCTCACCGCTGTGCACCGCTGTCTCCTAATCCCTAACGGCACCATGTAGTAGTCTCCGTCTCTCCTCCAATCCATCTCTGCTGTTGAGGCGCGGGAAAGTAGCCTCTTGTCCACTCCACCTCTGACCATTCATCTGCCCCTCCTCAACCTCCAATAGCCCTCAGCTTGAGCTGCTGGGGCTTGAGCTGCTGGGGCTTGAGTAGCCATCCCCCGCATCTGTCTTCACCTCCTTGGTTCACATGAATGGAGGTGGTTCCGTCTCCCTATGGGTCTCGTTTCAACTTGCCCCTACTTCTCGTTTTCCGTCTGCCTCGCTCCCTTTTTCACAGCGCCCTACTGAAGCTGTTTATAACGATGGAGGTGGTGGGGTGGCCGCAGCTGCAGGCGGACTACAGCGCGGAGATGCAGGAGGAGAAGCCCACCGTCTTCCTCAAGGACTCTCACCTCTCCTCCCTTAACCCTCCTTCTCACCTGCCCTCTCGCACCTGCTCCTTGCTCTCATCTTGTGCGCCCTTCTTCCCCCTTTTTTCCTTCCTCCCCACCCCTCCCTTTTCCCTTCCTCCCCACCCTCCACCCCCTGTCTCAGTGCCTTACTGAAGCTGTTTATAACGATGGAGGTGGTGGGGTGGCCGCAGCTTCAGGCGGATTACAGCGTGGAGATGCAGGAGGAGAAACCCACCATCTTCCTCAAGGACTCGGCTCTTGAAGACCTGCGCCTGCGCGTCATTCAGCACGTACGTAATGTGTTGCTTTCCATGGCCTTAGGTTCCTCCTATTCATTCATTCATTCACCTGTCTTCCTCGAGGAATTTTCGCTCGAGGACCTGCGCCTGCGCGTCATTCAGCACGTACGTTACAATCCATTGCCCTGGGCTTGCTACCATTTATCTGTTTGCTGTTCTCAAGGACTCAGCGCTAGAGGACCTGCGCCGCGCGTCATTCAGCATGTACGTTACACCCCACCCCATAGCCCTGTGCTCTCTCCATGCGTCCCACCGTCTTCCTCAAGGACTGCGCCTGCGCGTCATTCAGCATGTATGTGCTGCTATCCATAGCCCTGGGTTCCCATCCCACGATCCATCCATTCATCCATGTGCCTTCCTCAAGGACTCAGCGCTAGAGGACCTGCGCCGCGTGATTCAGTAGTGTCCAAGCACCATGCGCGCATCACCATGTCATATCTTCCGTGTTTTGAGTCGACGCAAAACATGGCTCTGCGCTAGAGGAACTGCACCTGCGCGTCATTCAGTAGTGTCCAAGTACCTTGTTCGCATCACCATGCCATGTTTTCTCCCCACCCTCCCGCCCATTCTCATCCTCGTCCTCATCAGAACATCCTGGTGGTCTCCAAGTACTATGTGCGCATCACCATGGCACGGCTTGCCCAGCTGCTCTCCCTCACTGTCCAGGTGATTCAACTTCATTACCCCAAGCTTTATCAGAGCCGCGTCTGAGAATTTTCAATTGTGATTCAGATCTTCACAACTCTGCCTCGCTCCGGGTGAGCCATGTTTTATCCCCTGGAGCTTGCTTATAGTGTGGTTTTGTTCAATGCAAGGGAATAGAACTGGATGTTTTTCAAAGTCAGTGTCATGGTTGTTTACACCACTACTTTCCCAAACAGGAGGCGGAGAAGTTTCTATCAGACATGGTGGTGGAGAAGGTGCTGGTGGCTAAGATTGACCGGCCGGCGGGGATTGTCACATTTGGCGAGAGGCAGGAGAGCGGGGTGCAACTGCTGGATAAATGGGCGAGCGACATTGCGAAGCTGCTTGACCTTGTGGAGACGAGCTGCCATCACATTCACAAGGAGGCGATGGTGCACAAGGTGGTGCTTAAAACATAATTAGGTTGTGTTGCTGATGGATCATGGATGTGCCATTGCTGTGTTTTTCACAGATAATTGGGAAGAAACTATTGCGCAGAATCCGTGTTTTTGTTTCGTATGGCCATTTGGGAGGACATTACATGGGTGGGTTGAGCTTCTTGAAGTTGCTGAGCTTGATATATCGGAGCTCCAACATTTTAGGTGCACTGGACAATCATCCCCCGCCACGTGTCCTAGAATGTTCGCTATCCACTCACACAGCCAATCAGAATTCAGTGCCAACATCTCCGCGATTTGCCATGTGGACCACTTTGGAATGGAACAACCAAGAGGGTCTCCGTTGCGCGAAAGTGCGGCTCCGCGCTCTGCGGGAGATGGCGGGCATTCGTCCGCTTATCGTTCAAAACAGTTCAGTAGGATCTTCTACGGTGTACAGCGGTCGGATAAGTCACCGCTCTGAAACGCAACGCATCCAACAAAAAACTTACCTTGCCCTCCTGGCTCTTCTCTCCTCATCATCAGTCCCATACATCACTCCCACAAAGCGAAGGGAGAAACTTCTCATGTCACTGACGCTTGTGGCACGTAACCACCTCCAAGGCAATAGAAGAAAGAGGCGATAGACTGCAGCGTCGGCAGCATTCGCGCCGATACTGTACATTTCAAGCGTTCGTTTTTGCCGTCAAGGTCTGAATTAGCCGTCTGTCGCCGCCATGGCGCAAGCGCTGACCATGAGCACTTCGCACGCGACATCTGTCGCACGCGCAGATCTCATCTCTGCGACCCGCCGTGGCGCCACGTCAGCAGTCAGTCCACGTGTCGCCCTCTCTCAAGCTCACCTCTCGAGTCGGCTGCTTAGCGGCAGGCTGATTCCCGATCGTGTGATCCTCCGATCGCAGATCTCTCGCCGGCCGTCGCACGCGAGCCAATTCAATCGCTCACTGTCGCACGTCGTCGCAGCCGTTAGCGCATCCGTCGCAGTAGAGGAAGCAGACGTCGTTATCGTCGGTGCCGGCGTGTCGGGTCTTTGCACGGGACTCGCTCTTACCACGGATCACGCGGACACTGTATCGAAGGTGATTGTAACGGAAGCGCGGGATCGCGTGGGCGGTAACATCACGACGGTGGTCGGCGAGCCGGGGACGGCGAACGAGGGGTATCTGTGGGAGGAGGGGCCCAACAGCTTTCAACCCAACGACGCCATGCTCAAATGCGCGGTACGTGTTCAAGATGGCATCCGCGTTATAAGGAAGAAGGGCATTCTCTTATCTGCTTGAGAAGAAGCGAGGGGGGGACGGCGAACGAGGGGTATCTGTGGGAGGAGGGGCCCGACAACTTCCAACCCAACGACGCCATGCTCAAATGCGCGGTATGCATTTCAGAATGGTATTCTTGCTATAAGGAAATTCACCCAGCCCAACTACGCCGTGCGCAGATGCGAGGTGCGGGTTATTCCGATTGCTCGCTGCGTCGCAAGATCCAAAAACACTGCATGAATTGCAGAGCCACGGCAATGTTGAATTACCCAAGAAACCGCAAGTCTTCCCTGACAACGAACCGGACTAGCTCGTGAGGCGTCGTTGAGACCAGATAACGGGTTAAACCTGCATATAAACAGATAAACTGGTAAACTTGGTTGCAGTACTTCAATAATAAGGCTCTGTACAAAATCACCTTTCTAATCGTTGCCGTCGAGCGTGGATTCATTAGGCTTAGGGATGTGTGCCTTTCTCGCCGCTGAGTCGCCAGGCGCTTTTTGCAAGAGCGCGCATTTTTGTTTTTGCATTCCTAACCAGTAACGCGAAGAAGGCGGCCTTGGCTTTTGGCATGAAAAAGGTGAAGTCTAGCGAAACGTCGTTACACAGCCTTGCCGCGGCGCCTGCTGACAAGAAATCCAGTTCGCGTTGACCAAATTGTCTGTTCCTCTCTGCCATTCCCTGCCATCCCCTACCCGCTCTGCCTATATCTGTCGCCGCCTACCCAACCGTGCCCGTGTCCGTGCCCATGTCTTGTCCTTCCTCCCCTCACCTAACAACCAACCAACCCACGGCAGCTCGACAGCGGCGTCATCGACCAGCTGGTTCTTGGAGATCCCGATGCTCCGCGCTTCGTCTTCTGGGAGGGCCGCCTGCGCCCCGTGCCCGCGGGCCTGCTGGACCTGCCCGTGTTCGACCTCATGTCCATCATCGGCAAGATCCGCGCTGGTCTCGGCGCGTTTGGACTCCGCCCCGCTGCTCCCGAGGTTAGTTTGTGAGGCATAGTGTAGGTTCGGAAAGCTGAAGGCCTGCTGGACCTGGCTGCCAGTCGTCGTCGTCCTAATGTCTACCATCATCAAGATCCGCGCTGGTCTGGTTGCCTTTGGTCTCCGTCCCGCTGCTCTTGAGGTCGGAGTGAGCGTGTTTGGCAAATAGCACAAGTGCTGGTTGTGGTGCCGTGTGGGGGGCATAGGTCACCTTCTTCCCCCTCCCGCACAGCCACTGTCATTGGCATCGTCCAAGGGTCCGTTGTTGCTCATGCCCACCCTCCCTCCTCATGCCCACCCTCCCTCCTCATGCCCACCCACCCTCCTCATGCCCACCCTCCCTCCTCATGCCAACCCTTCCCTCCTACTCATCCCGTTGGCATCTCATTGCGTGGCATGGCGTGGCATGGCGTGGCATGGCGCGGGTGTGGCACGGCAGGGCAAGGAGGAGAGTGTGGAGGAGTTTGTGAGGCGCAATCTGGGCGCGGAGGTGTTCGAGCGCCTCATCGAACCCTTCTGCTCCGGTGGGTGGCTGGCTGCCTGGGTTCTGGGTGGGTGGGCCGCTGGGTGCGTGGGTGCGTGGGTGCGTGGGTGAATGGTGGATGGGTGGGTGGGAAGGTGGGTGGGAGGGTGGGTGGGTGGAAGCTAGGGGTAACAGCCACACAGGGGTCCTTGTGCTTTCACGAAAGGCAGCAGGCAGGCAGAGACCATCTTGTGTGAGCTAGGCTAGAGACCATCTTGTGTGAGCTAGGCTAGAGACCATCTTGTGTGAGCTAGGCTAGAGACCATCTTGTGTGAGCTAGGCTAGAGACCATCTTGTGTGAGCTAGGCTAGAGACCATCTTGTGTGAGCTAGGCTAGAGACCATCTTGTGTGAGCTAGGCTAGAGACCATCTTGTGTGAGCTAGGCTAGAGACCATCTTGTGTGAGCTAGGCTAGAGACCATCTTGTGTGAGCTAGGCTAGAGACCATCTTGTGTGAGCTAGGCTAGAGACCATCTTGTGTGAGCTAGGCTAGAGACCATCTTGTGTGAGCTAGGCTAGAGACCATCTTGTGTGAGCTAGGCTAGAGACCATCTTGTGTGAGCTAGGCTAGAGACCATCTTGTGTGAGCTAGGCTAGAGACCATCTTGTGTGAGCTAGGCTAGAGACCATCTTGTGTGAGCTAGGCTAGAGACCATCTTGTGTGAGCTAGGCTAGAGACCATCTTGTGTGAGCTAGGCTAGAGACCATCTTGTGTGAGCTAGGCTAGAGACCATCTTGTGTGAGCTAGGCTAGAGACCATCTTGTGTGAGCTAGGCTAGAGACCATCTTGTGTGAGCTAGGCTAGAGACCATCTTGTGTGAGCTAGGCTAGAGACCATCTTGTGTGAGCTAGGCTAGAGACCATCTTGTGTGAGCTAGGCTAGAGACCATCTTGTGTGAGCTAGGCTAGAGACCATCTTGTGTGAGCTAGGCTAGAGACCATCTTGTGTGAGCTAGGCTAGAGACCATCTTGTGTGAGCTAGGCTAGAGACCATCTTGTGTGAGCTAGGCTAGAGACCATCTTGTGTGAGCTAGGCTAGAGACCATCTTGTGTGAGCTAGGCTAGAGACCATCTTGTGTGAGCTAGGCTAGAGACCATCTTGTGTGAGCTAGGCTAGAGACCATCTTGTGTGAGCTAGGCTAGAGACCATCTTGTGTGAGCTAGGCTAGAGACCATCTTGTGTGAGCTAGGCTAGAGACCATCTTGTGTGAGCTAGGCTAGAGACCATCTTGTGTGAGCTAGGCTAGAGACCATCTTGTGTGAGCTAGGCTAGAGACCATCTTGTGTGAGCTAGGCTAGAGACCATCTTGTGTGAGCTAGGCTAGAGACCATCTTGTGTGAGCTAGGCTAGAGACCATCTTGTGTGAGCTAGGCTAGAGACCATCTTGTGTGAGCTAGGCTAGAGACCATCTTGTGTGAGCTAGGCTAGAGACCATCTTGTGTGAGCTAGGCTAGAGACCATCTTGTGTGATGTCTCCTGCAGCATGCAGCAATGAGCTAGGCAGTTGCAGTTGAAATTCGTTGGGTTGGAAACGCAGCAGAGCTAGGCTGGAGCAGTTAAGATGGCCCTTCTACTGCCTCCTCCACACCCTCCCCTCCCTCCCCTTCCCCCTCCCACCCCTTGCTGCAAGTGTGTATTCAGGTGGCCCCTCCAAGCTGTGAGCATGGAAGGCCGCGTTCGAAAAGGTGCCACAGCTGGAGCGATGAGGGTTCTTCCCCTTCCCCTCAACCCCAACCCTGCGCCCGCCTCTTCCCAACCCCCTTTCACCTAATCCCCCATCCCCTCGCGCTGCAGGCGTGTACGCAGGAGACCCATCCAAGCTGAGCATGAAGGCCGCGTTCGGCAAAGTGTGGCGCCTGGAGCAGCTGGGGGGGTCCATCTTTGGCGGCTCCATGAAGCTGATCAAAGAGAGACAGGCCAACCCGCCACCTCCCCGTGACCCGTACGTTGTGCATGGTAGTGCCTAGTGTACTGCAACATGGTAACCAGTTGCTCATGGTGCTCTCCCATAAAGAGCAGCAGGGAGGGTCCATCTTTGGGGGATCTATGAAGCTGATCAAGGAGAGACAGGCCAATCCCCCAACCCCCCCGTGATCCGTACGTTACGGGTGGTAATCGTAAGCGTGCTGTACCATGGTAACCTAATGTAACGCAGTAACCCAGTAACGTGGTGAAGCCATGGATGCTGCTGCTAGCAGCAGCTGGGTGGGTGGATTCGTATTTTGCTTGGCGGGTCCCTCTGAAGTGCAAAAAGGACAGACCAACTTCCGAGTCGCTTTTGTTTTGAGAATTCTCAAAAGCTGACTCGGATGTTGCAGGTCTTTGTGAACTTGTGAAGAGCAAAAAGGACAGATCAACTTCCTTCCTCCCCGTGACCTGTGAGCATGCTGCTGCTGTCATGTATCCAGGCTTATGTCTCTCTTATTGCTATCAATGCTAATGCTGTTCTAACTGACCCATCCCTTTGCATCCCTTTGCACCCCTTTTATCCCCTTCTCACCTTCTCCCACCGCTCTTCACCGCATGGATCTGCAGGCGCCTGCCAAAGCCCAAGGGGCAGACAGTGGGGTCGTTCCAAAAGGGACTCATCACCCTCCCCACTGGAATTGCCAACAAGTATGTGCCATGCTGCCATGGTGACATGATGCCATGCTGCCATTCTGCCATGGTGACATGATGCCATGCTGCCATGCTGCCATGGTGACATGATGCCATGCTGCCATGCTGCCATGGTGACATGATGCCATGCTGCCATGCTGCCATGCTGCCATGCTGCCATGCTGCCAAGGATGTGCCATGGTGACATGATGACATGCCATGTTATGCCATCCCATGCGTTGCCACGCCACGCCACGCCATGGCATGCATTGCTATGCCACGTGGTGCCTTGCTCCGCCATCATATGATATCATGGGTTACCACCGTGCCATGCCATGCCATACCAGGCCACACCACACCACACCACACCACAGCACGCCACACCGCATTGAGCCACCACATAAGGATCACTAAAGTCGCACATCACATTTCGTTCCGCCAACCTACCCTTTCCGAACCGAACCTGCCCTCCAGGCTCGGCGACCGAGTGAGGCTCGGGTGGAAGCTGACAGCCATAGAGAAGCGGCCAGGTGGCAGCGGCTTCCTGCTGTCCTACGACACTCCCGAGGGTGCCAAGCAGCTCTCAGCGCGCTCGCTGCTGCTCACCGTGCCCTCATACGTCGCTGCTGACCTGCTCAAGCCCTACTCAGTGAGGATTCCCCCCACTCTCTTGCAAACGTGCTTTTAGGCATGCATAGGACGTCCGGTTTTTTTCCATGTGTTTGCGCGGCCAATTGGATTTGTCCCTTCACTTTCGTCCCCGAGGTCTCATCTCCGTCCCACAGGCAGCAGCGACGGCAGCGCTACTGGGTACCTATCAGAGACGACTGCCAGGTGGGGGGCTCGAGCTGAATGCGCCTCACTGATTTCCCCCCCTATCCCTCCCCATCCCCCTGCCCTTCCTCCGCCCCTTTCGCCCTCCCCACAGGCAGCAGCAGCAGCAGCAGCAGCACCTGTCAGCCTTCTACTACCCACTCGTGGCAGCAGCGTACCCCAAGGAGGCCATTTGAGAGGACCGGCTGGTAGGGGCTAGCTGAATGAACCCCATTGATTCCCCTCTATCCCTCTCACCCCCCTGCCTGCCCTTTCCCCCCTCTCAACCCTCCTGCAGGCAGCAGCGGCAGCAGCTCTGTCAGCCTTCTACTACCCACCCGTGGCAGCAGTGACCATCTCGTACCCCAAAGAGGCCATCCGAGAGGACCGGCTGGTGGGCGGCGAGCTCAAGGGCTTTGGGCAGCTGCACCCGCGGACTCAGGGCATCGTCACTCTGGGTAAGTTGTGGAGGTGACGCAAGGGGCGGGGTGTAAGACGGGGTAAGGAGGAGGTGGGTGGAGTGGCGTGGAGCATGGGAATCACCACATACGAGGTGAGAGGCGTGGAGTGGGGTGCGTGGAGTGGAGCATGGGAATCACCAGTTAGAGGTGGGGGGCGAGCTCAAGGGCTATGGGCAGCTGCACCCGCGGACCTAAGGAATTGCCACTCTGGGTATGGCATTGGGCGGCAGGCAGGGTTGAGGGTGGTGGGGATGGGTGAGAGGGATGGGTGAGGGATGGGTGAGAGGGATGGGTGAGAGGGATGGGTGAGAGGGATGGGTGAGAGGGATGGGTGAGAGGGATGGGTGAGAGGTATGGGTGAGAGGTATGGGTGAGAGGTATGGGTGAGAGGTATGGGTGAGAGGTATGGGTGAGAGGGATGGGTGAGAGGGATGGGTGAGAGGGATGGGTGAGAGGTATGGGTGAGAGGGATGGGTGAGAGGTATGGGTGAGAGGTATGGGTGAGATGGATGGGTGAGAGGTATGGGTGAGAGGGATGGGTGAGGGATGGGTGAGAGGGATGGGTGAGAGGGATGGGTGAGAGGTATGGGTGAGAGGTATGGGTGAGAGGTATGGGTGAGAGGTATGGGTGAGAGGTATGGGTGAGAGGGATGGGTGAGAGGTATGGGTGAGAGGTATGGGTGAGAGGTATGGGTGAGAGGTATGGGTGAGAGGTATGGGTGAGAGGTATGGGTGAGAGGTATGGGTGAGAGGTATGGGTGAGAGGTATGGGTGAGAGGTATGGGTGAGAGGTATGGGTGAGAATGATGGGTAAGAGACACACGGAGCCAAGTTGATACCAGCAGATTGCATCGCGTGTACTGATTTGTTCATCCCCATTGACATTGTTCATTTCATCCCCATCTGGGCTCCATCCTCTTTGCTGTGACTACTACCCATTCATTCTCTTCTCTGTCCTCCGCGCCTCTGATGATCTGATCTATGCTCGTCTCTCCTCTTCTCCTCACCCACTGAAACATGATTTAGAGGTTTCCGCTCCCTGCTCTTTCCCAACTGTGCTTGGTGCTCCATTGTGTGCCTGCCCTCCCTCCCCTCCCCTATTTTCTTTCCTCCCCACCCTCACCCCCACAGGCACCATCTACAGCTCGTTTCTCTTCCCCAACCGTGCTCCATGCTCCGTGCTCTCCCCCTCCCCCCCCCATCCCCTCATCCCCCTCCAGGCACCATCTACAGCTCCGTGCTCTTCCCCAACCGTGCCCCGGACGGCCGTGTGCTGCTGCTATGCTACATTGGCGGCGCGTGCAACACCAAGATCGCCACCATGGTGAGTGGTGATGGTGATTTGTCTTTGACTATATCCATGCTGTAACATTTCAGTGCTTGTTTTAGTAGTAAGTGCTGCTGCTGTGCTACATTGGGGACGCATGTGACACCAAAGTTTCCCCCCCCCCTCCCCCCCCCACCCCCTCTTTTTCCCCCTCCCATCCCAACCTGCCAGAGAGAGAGAGTGAATCAGGTGGACATCGCTGCACGCAAGATGCTCATATAGCCACCTCTTTCGCCCTCTCTTCCCCTTGTCGCCCTTCCTTCATTCGGCACCCCTTCCCTCTACCCGCCAATTTTTTGTTGGAGCGAGGAGAAGATAGTGAAGCAGGTGGACATAGTTGTGCGCACAATTCCTATCAAGCTGCCTCTTTCCCCGTCTCTTTCCCTTGTCTCGTCCCTTTCACCTCCAATCCACCACCAGAGCGAGGAGGAGATAGTGAAGCAGGTGGACATTGACGTGCGCAAGATGCTCATCAAGCCCGACGCTGTCGCGCCCCTCACGCACGGCGTGCGCGTGTGGCCGCGTGCCATTCCCCAGTTCAACGTCGGCCATCTTGACAACCTCGCCAAAGCGCGAGAGGAGATTAAGGCGGCTGGGCTTGAGGGCGTGTTCCTGGGAGGGAATTACGTGGCGGGTGTCGCGCTGGGTCGGTGCGTGGAGGGTGGGTATGAGAGCGCGGCAGAGGTGGTACAGTATTTGAAGGAAAATGTTGCTGTTAGCAAATAAATATCGTTAGGATGACCGTATGGAGGGTGTCTTGTTTGGTTTTGGTCAACTAGCCAAGCTTTTGTTGTACCGTATGGAGTGGGATGTTGTCAACAAGTAGGGTTGAGCATTGTCAATGTTCCTTTTTTTTGTTGCCTTCATCGCACAACACAGTTTGCCCAGGCCCATTCTCATAATGTTCCTATCTGCAGGGAGGCAGAAGTTGCATAGCATGCACAAACACTAACACCTTGTTATAAGCTTCCAAGCTTCCAGGTGTGTCCAAGTTACAAGTTTCCTGAGACCCTGAGCAAGAGCTGTGTGCAATAATTGTCTTATCAGCAATAATTTCACATCATTTTCTTGTGTTGATGGCAATGGCAACCTGCGGCAATAATTGCGGGAATGGGCTTTTGCGAACGTCGCCGCCGAAACTTGAGCTCGCGAATGCTCGCTGCCTCTGGTGACAAGCCATCATTGCCTCGGGGAACAAAAATGTCAACGGCGGCGACGGTTACCCTCTGCACTTTCACCCAATCAGATCCTTCCATACCACACATGTTCGCTGCAAAGCCCTGCAAACTAGTGCTTTGGTCGCACCGCGACGCAACGCAACGCGACTCGAAACATCTGCACCTTTACGGCTTGATGTTGGCAGCCTTTGGAACTTCTACGGTTCACTACGGTTAACTGCAGCTTATACACGGTTCTGTGTAGAGAATGGCAGCGCAGTGCAGTTTCACACAAAATTTAGACCTGCCTGTGCCTCACATCACACCACTCCGTGAGACACGGAGGGCGCCGCTACCACAGTGCAGCGCGCAAAACGCTTCAAGCAGAGTGACGGAGAGCCATATGGACGAACGTAGCGCGCAGCACCCGACTTCGCTGCTGGTAGAGCGGCCGCTGTAAGAACTGCGAGCACCGTCGCCCTAGTTCGTATCACTTGATTTCGCCCTTCCGTTATTGATTGCACAGAACGAGTCGGTTTCATCATCGATTTTTGACTTCCTCTACCTGATAATTACCGCTAGGCGCGAAAATTCGTTCCCGAACACTTTCAAGAGGAGTTGTGGCTTCAAAACCGCAGATTTTCCAACCCTGAGCCTCCCATTTCAAAGCGGATTTCGCGCACGTTGCAAAAGAAAACGAGGGGTCTTTTGTTTTCGCTGACGCCATGATCGCCCTTACCGTCGCCGTTGCTTTGGTTGCTGCTGCTCTCGGCGCTCCTCTCCCCGCGGCAGCTGCGGCGGCGGCTGCGGCGGTTCCGCCTCAAGCCTCCGACGTCATAATCCAGCCGTCCGATCGTGAGTCGCCTCACGACGCGCTCGCTGCGAGCCCCCGTCCTCCCCTCTCCCCATCCTCATCTCAAAGTTCAGAGTTAAATTGAGAACTCTCGAATAGTGTCTCCCTGCGGAAGCTCTCATTCCTCTCCCATCGCTCTCATTATTCTTAGTTTAGGTATAGCCCCCGGCTAGCGTTGAAGGTAGTAAATACTTGGAGAGAATTTCTGGTTTTTCAGGACTGATTTCACTCAAAACAGAGAAGTACACACAATGATTCAAAACAAACAGATTTAAGCATTTCGAATTGTGATGTGCGCCTCGCGTAACGCGTCATCCGCGTTTCAGCCCGAGTCGCACGCGGAACCGATTTCGGTAACCGTCACCGGAACCGAAACCTGTTTGTCCCTTCCGCACCGAACATGGTTCGGTTTCGGTTGGACATTTCTAGGCTTCGGAAATGTCTTCTCGACATTTCTCGAACCCTATTCTTCTAGCATTCCGTTTTTCCGTTTTCCTCACGTTTTCCTCCCGTAGTTTCTTAGCATGCAGTCCCACCGATCTAGCCGTCATCTCTCCATATTGGGTCGTAGTTTCCCACCGTTCCTGGTGTTGTTCCACCGTCTCTAGGGCTGGCGCGTAGGTCGGTAGGCACTAGGGCAGTGGCGAACCACCCTAACAATTATCATCCCCCTGCCTCAACTGTAGGAAATGCCAGCTGTTCCCCCCTGTACCGTGCTCAAACCTCGACCTCCCGCTCGTCCCCGTTACAGTCACGGCCCTGCGCCAGTTAGCGAAACAGTGGGGCAGCGGCTTCGACGGCTATAAGACATGGGCCGCGCCCGGCGCGCCCAAGAAATGCTCCGCCTACATGGGCGTCGGCTGCGACTCGAGCGGTCGAGTCGTGAGCTTGTGAGTCAATACGAATCAACGCCAGTCAATCGGAATCAACTTCCCTTAATCGGAGTCAAGGATGAGTCAAGCTGAGTCAACGTCAGTCAAACATGGTGCAATGCTGACCTACCTCTCAGGCCCATGCTTGGTGCAATGCCAACGCAGAAAATAATCGGGCTGATTGCTTCCTATACGCGCCTGTCCGATTGCTAGTACTCCTTACCGCTGATTCATCCTTTCCCCCTTTTTCCCTCATTGTCTACTTGATCAGAACGCTGCCAGTGTCAGCAGCAGAGGGGCCGATCACCGGCATCTCAAAGCTCACTGCCCTCACCAAAATGTGAGTGCGTCTGACCAAAATGATGCCACTGCCACTGCCGTGCTCTCACTGCCGATCTTCTCCTTGAAAGCTCCATCCCTTAGCCAACCATCGCCCTCCCTTTTGCTCCCACACCCACCGCCCCTCGCTCGTCGCCCCTCGCTTCTCCCCCATCTCCCCTCTGCCCTCGCCCCCTTCTGCCCTTTGACATCACAAATAGATCCATTTCTTCATCCCCCAACGCCCCCACATTCGTCCCCACTACCATCGCCCATCGCCCCTCGACCCTCCCCCCCTTCCTCCCCAGCTCGATGCCCTATAACATCATCATGGGATCCATCCATTCACCCCCGTTTTCGCCCACAATTCCATCGTTCCTCACCCCTTCAGATCGATGCTCCCATCGTTCCTCACCCCTTCAGATCGATGCTCCCATTTTTCCTCCCATCGTTCCCATCCTGCTTCCTCAGATCGATGCCCTACAACATCATCACGGGATCCATTGCTGACGTCACCAAATTGCCCAACCTGCGCTTTCTGTATGCTTCTGCCCCCAAGCCAAGCCATGCTATCTATGCCATGCCGTGCCATGCCATGCCATGCCATGCCGTGCCATGCCATGCCATGCCATGCCGTGCCATGCCATGCCATGCCATGCCGTGCCATGCCATGCCATGCCATGCCATGCCATGCCATGCCATGCCGTGCCATGCCATGCCATGCCATGCCATGCGCTTGCCTTGCTTCCCCTGACTAAGCTTCTCCGCATTTGTCCCTCATTCTTCCCGCCCCGCAGTGACCTGAGCCGCAACATAAAGATCGGCAAGCTGCCAGTGTCGCTCACAGCCATGACAGCACTGAAACACCTGTACGCCCGCCCCACATATATGTGTTTACGCTCTCTCTTATATGTGTCTTCAAAATTAGTTCAGGAAAGCTGCCTGCATCTCTCGCAACCTATCTTGTACGCCTCTTAATTTCACCCTCCACTCCCATTACTTCCGATCCTGGTGCCACCCCATTGCACGCAGCGAATAACAAGAGAATAACAAGAGATTAACAAGAGAATAACAAGAGAATCACAAGAGAATCAAATCGCTCCTGCTGGCTGAAAATGTGCCTCCACTCCACACTCCTCGCCCCTGTTGTTTTCCCGCAGCGACCTGAGTGGGTGTCGCATCGGAGGGGTCATCCCCGCCTTCCTTGGAAGAATCAAGTCTCTCACCTTCCTGTGCGTTGCGGTAACACCACCGTTCACATGCCCATCACCCATACCACCATCATTGGGACCATCGCCACTCATACCTTATGCACTCACACCCCATCCACTCACACCCCATCCACTCACACCCCATCCACTCACACCCCATCCACTCACACCCCATCCACTCACCTCGCCCGCTTTTCATTCATAGCCCCTCACCCCTCTCCAATCATCCCCCCATCCCCCCATCTCCCCATCTCCCCATCCCCCATCTGTAATCCTCTCCCCTCCTCTCCCCTCTCCTCCATTCCTCTCACTCCTCTCCCCTCCTATCCCTCCCTTCCCAGCGGCCTAAGCAACAATTTCTACACACGGGAGGTTCCGCCGTCATTTGGAGGCCTCGTGAAAGGAATATACTTTTAGGACGCCTCACCAACAAGCCTCCTCTTCCTTCCCGCTCTCTCCTTTCCTTCTCTTCCCAGCGGCCTAAGCAACAATTTCTACACGGGGGAGGTTCCACCGTCCTTTGGAGGCCTTTCCAACCTCGCATACCTGTAAGCCCTTCTCTCACACACAGCCCCTCACACACAGCCCCTCACACACAGCCCCTCCCACACAGCCCCTCACACACAGCCCCTCACACACAGCCCCTCACACACAGCCCCTCACACACAGCCCCTCATACACAGCCCCTCCCACACAGCCCCTCACACACAGCCCCTCACACACAGCCCCTCCCACACAGCCCCTCCCACACAGCCCCTCACACACAGCCCCTCCCACACAGCCCCTCACACACAGCCCCTCCCACACAGCCCCTCCCACACAGCCCCTCCCACACAGCCCCTCCCACACAGCCCCTCCCACACAGCCCCTCACACACAGCCCCTCCCACACAGCCCCTCACACACAGCCCCTCCCACACAGCCCCTCCCACACAGCCCCTCCCACACAGCCCCTCACACACAGCCCCTCCCACACAGCCCCTCACACACAGCCCCTCCCACACAGCCCCTCCCACACAGCCCCTCTCACGAATCTCATCACCCGCTTGGGATCCTCCCTCTCTCTCCACTCGAAGAACAGCTTCTCCCTGCCTGTCAGGCTGGCCTTTTCCACGTTATGACTTTTGAGGCGCCTCAAGAGTTGGGATCCTCCCTCTCCACTCAAAACAAACATTCTCCCAACCTGTCAGGCCGGCTTCTTCCATGCTAAGTTGAACCTAACGGCACTTCACTCTCTCTTTCTCTCTCCCTCCCTCCCTCCTCACTCCCACAGGGACCTATCCGGTTCGGGCGAAGAGGAGGAGGAGGGAAACGGCCTGGGGAGCCCTCTTCCCTCGCAGCTTGTGAATCTCAAGGCACTCAAATCCCTGTCAGTACCACCTCCTCTCACTACTTGTTGCCGCTGCCGCAGCTGCCTGCCGCGGCTTCCGTATTCTAGACTCCTGTCTTTTAACGACAGCTCTGTTTTTTTCCTTAGTGCTACCTTCCCTTACTCCCACCAGCAATACGTGGGGCAATAAGTTCATACCTTCCCCTCCACCTAAACTGTATTCCTATCTTCCCCTCCCCTCCCCTCCCCTCCCCCCTAGCCACCGCTTCCCCTACTCCCACCTGCAATCTGTGGGACAATGAGTTCACGGGACGCATTCCTGACTTTCTTGGGAGCCCCATCTCCCCGACACTCTACCATCTTCCGTTCCTCCCTCCTCAGACCCAATCCGGACTTCCTTGGAAGCTTCACTTCCCCCAAACCCCTCTGTACCAATCTCCACCTCCTCCTTCCCTCCCTCTCCCTCCCCCCACGTACCCACTTCCACCAGCAACCTGTGGGGCAATGAGTTCACAGGGCCCATTCCGGACTTCCTTGGAAGCCTCACTTCGCTGACAGAGCTGTAAGTGACTATAAGACAGTTGCAGTGACGTCAGTGTTTACAACGAATGTGACTGAACCAGAGAATCAGAGATCCAGCACTTTATGCCGAATCTTTTGTGCGTTCTGTACTGACTATCCACCAAACCCTCCTCTCCTCCTCCCCTTTACCAAACTTTCTCACCCTACACAGAGTTCTGAGAGGGAATCCGTGGGAGAGGCAATCCCTAGGACCAAACTCGTGAGGCTCCTCAAAAGACCTACAACCCCTCCCCCTCCCCATTCCCCTTTACCCACCTCCCTTCCCCCCTCTACCAACCCCGCTCACCCTCCTCCGGATTCTGAGCAAAAGTCGAGGCGAACCCAAAGACATTCTCTCAACTCGTGAGGCCCACGACCCCTCCTTATCCCCCCTCCCTCCTCCTCCCCCACCACTCTACCAACCCTCCTCTCCCTGCTCAGGATTCTGAGCAAAAACCGGTGGGACAATGCAATCCCAGGGACCTTCTCTCGACTCGTCAACCTGCGAACACTGTGAGAGGAAGTGGGCGTGAGTGGACGTTTATGTGAAGAGATATAGTGATGTTAAAATCGTGTCATAACTTTCTCAAAAACATCACTTTCTCAACATCACTTACCTGTGCGGGCCAATGTTCGTAACTTTCTCAAAAACATGTAGCAAACGAACAGGATAATTGCCGCCTCTTCGTCCCTTGGAAAAGCCACTTGTAGCCGTTGTAGCACATAGTGAGGTGAGTTGGTTTTTGAGAATTCTCAAAAACCGTTGTAGCACATGGTGAGGTGACTGCACATTTATCACTTTACCAAAGGTAGAAAGCCAACACATTTTCTCTCTCTCCCGTCGATGCTCCCGATGTCTCTTCCTCTCCTACCCCCTCGCCTCTCCCTACCCCTCAGTGATCTAAGCGAGACGGAGATCGCAGGCAGCATTCCCCCTTTCTTCTCCACTTTCGACAAGCTCGTGTCCCTGTAAGTCGCGATTACAGGATTGAGTTTTGACAGTCACGTCAATCCCTCCCCACCCCTGCCCACACCCTTTTCGTTCCCACCATGTCTGTCCACTTTCCAACTCCCCTCCATCTCTCCCCCCTCTCACCCCCTTCTGTCTCCCACCCTTCTCTCAACCTTTCCCCCATTTCACGCTCCTTCCCCCCCTTCACTGCTCCCCTGCAATATCAGCTTCAAGGCCAGCACCATGTGAAGCTTGAGTCTGTTCGAAATTTCCCCCTTCCCACCCTCCCCTGGCCATTCCCCCAACCCTCTTCGCCATTCTGATGCAAAATCAGATCTACTGGCCGCACCATATGATAGCTAACTCTACCCAAAGGTCGTCTCATTTCCCCGTCAACCCACCACTCCTCCCACTCCTCTTTCATTATTCCCATGCAATATCAGATCTATTGGCAGCACAAGCATCAGTGGCAACATTCCACGTGGCTTCAGCAGACTGGTCAACCTACAAAACTTGTGAGCTCACAGGGGGCCTTCATTCTATCCGCTTTATAAGAATATCCCTTGCATGGCACCATCCCCATAGCTGCACACCTGAACCTAACGCGCAAAGAGGTGTATTGAGGCGCCCAAAAATCACCTAAATAGACGATGAGCGCCATGGTCTGCAAAGTAAATGTCATGGTCCGCATTCGTGTTTTGAGTCGACTCATTACACGCCATGACCTGCAAAGTAAACGTCAAGGTCCGCAATCGATCAACCAGAATCGATGCAGTGATCAGGCGTGTGCCTGAACAACAGCGTCTAGACAACAACATGCTAATTGACCTTCATTCCATACGTGAGATTGATAAACTCGGGATTGGTTCAACTCAGGATTGGTTCAACTCAGGATTGGTTCAACTCAGGATTGGTTCAACTCAGGATTGGTTCAACTCAGGATTGGTTCAGCTCAGGATTGGTTCAACTCAGGATTGGTTCAACTCAGGATTGGTTCAACTCAGGATTGGTTCAACTCAGGATTGGTTCAGCTCAGGATTGGTTCAACTCAGGATTGGTTCAGCTCAGGATTGGTTCAACTCAGAATAGAGACTGGTTTCACATTCCCTCCACCAGGCGTCTGAACAATAACATGCTGAGCGGCCTCCTTCCCGGCTTCAGTGCTTCAAAGAACCTCCGACAACTGTAAGAAACTCAGAAATATCACATGGCCCTAGGGTTTCGTTCGTTTCATCACCCTTTGATTCCGTCACCTTGAATCTCACCACGTTCTGACATTCCACCATCACGTTACATACTCCTGGCCCATCTATTCTCCCCTTTGCCCTTCTTGCTATAACCCAGCCTCCTCCTCCTCCTCCTCCTCCTCCTCCTCCTCCTCCTCCTCCTCCTCCTCCTCCTCCTCCTCCTCCTCCTCCTCCTACTCCTCCTCCTCCTCCTGCTCCTCCTCCTCCGCCTTCTCCACCCCCTCCAATCCCTTCCCTAACTTTCAACCTCCACCCCCTCTACCCCCCAAACCCCCTTCCTCACTCCTGATTACTGCAGTGACGTCAGCAGCAACTTCCTTGCAGGTGCCCTCCCAGCCTCCCTTGCATCTCTCTCCAACCTCACAATCGCCAGCAACTATTTCTCGGGCAGCGCCGCCTCTTTTCCCTGCCCGGACCCCGACGCTCTCTCGTACAACTGCTTCTCGTCAGTTCCCGCTTGCAAGGCAGCCATCACTCCTCGTCCTGCTAACAGGTGCAGGGATTTCTGTGGGACGGGGACGAAAGCAGGCACGTGCGGAGGGCATGGGGTGTGCAGACCTGCTTGGAAGGGCAGCGATCTGCTGTTTTCGTGCCAATGCTTTAAGGGGTTTGTGGCCAGGAAAAACGGATTGACCTGTGAAGCAAAGAGCAGTTGAGCAGTGAAGATGGCATTTGCTTTGAATAAGGAGGGGCTGTGCTGGTTGTAGTACTTGCAGTAGTTGCTCTTCTATCCCAATAAACGTGCTATCTGCACCTACCTTTGTCAAACATGTATGCTGCATATTGTCTAGGCTGTAGTGGGGTAGCCCATATGGGGTACAACCAAATTAGGGTTTCCTACTTGTACTCCTGCATGCTGTTAGTTTACCATTCCTGCTGCCAGATTCTAACATGGTTTCAGAGCAGTAGGTCCGTAGGACCGTTTTTTTCGGGCCCACCTACCACTGCGGTTACCGCGCTACCCCACGTACCTGCCTGCCTTGCCTTGCCTTGTGACGTGCTGCACTACGCGAGCCGTCCAGCAGCCCTAGCGCTGCCTCCTGCTGCCCTAGGCCAGCGCGCTGCCCCTAGAGGCCCGTAAGGCCCGCGCGCCGCCCCTACACGCCCTTCAGGCCTGCGCAGCCCGCACCGAGCCGCGCGCAGCCCGCTGCTACCGCGAGCTGCCCGCACCGAGCCCGCGCATCCCGCACAGAGCCGCGCGCAGCCCGCTGCAGCCGCGCGCAGCCCGCTGCAGCCGCGCGCAGCCCGCACCGAGCCGCGCGCAGCCCGCTGCAGCCGCGCGCAGCCCGCACCGAGCCGCGCGCAGCCCGTTGCAGCCGCGCGCAGCCCGCTGCAGCCGCGCGCAGCCCGCACCGAGCCGCGCGCAGCCCGCTGCAGCCGCGCGCAGCCCGCACCGAGCCGCGCGCAGCCCGTTGCAGCCGCGCGCAGCCCGCACCGAGCCCACGCAGCCCGCGTCGAGCCGCGCGCGGCCTACTCCTGCCTCGCGAGGCCCGCGCGCCGCCCGCAGCAGCCCGCGCCGAGCCGCGCGCGGCTCGCCACTGCCTAACGCGGCCGCGCGCGGCCTGCAGCAGCCCAGCGCGCTGTCAGCGCAGCCCGCGCCGAGCCGCGCGCGTCCCTCTGCCTCGGCCCCGACCTGCCGCTGATACGGCCCCGCTCTGCAGCTGCCACGGCCCCGACCTGCCGCTGAAGCGGCCCCGCCCTGCAGCTGCTTCGGCCCTACTCTGCACCGGGTGTTGCGGCCCCGACGTCGCCGCTGTCGTGCGCCTACTCGGCCGCCGCCCGTTGAGCGCCGGCCCTGCTCGCCCGGCGAGCGCCTGCTCTTCCAGCCTTTGGTGAGCGCCTGCCTGCCTGCCGGCCTGCCTGTCTGCTTGCCTGCCTGCCTGCCTGCCTGCCTGCCTGCCTGCCTGCCTGCCGGCCTACCTGCCTGCCTGCCTGCCTGCCTGCCTGCCTGCCTGCCGGCCTGCCTGTCTGCCTGCCTGCCAGCCTGCCGGCCTGCCTGTCTGCTTGCCTGCCTGCCGGCCTGCCTGCCTGCCCGCCTGCCTGCCTGCCTGCCTGCCTACCTACCGGCCTGCCTGCCTGCCTGCCTGCCTGCCTGCCTGCCTGCCTGCCGGCCTGCCTGTCTGCCTGCCTGCCTGCCTGCCTGCCTGCTGGCCTGGCTGTCTGCCTGCCTGTCGGCCTGCCGCGCCTGCCCTGCCCGCGCTACTGCTGCTGCTACTGCTACTGGCCGGTGGCCAGATGCAGCCCCAGCGACGTTCACGTGAGTCTCTCACGCCCCAGCAGCTTGATGAGTGGTATACTAGCTGGGGTTGTCGCGGTAGCAGTCGTAGCTGTCCCCCTGGAGCTGGTCAGTTGGGAGCGTCTGGCGGTGGCCAGCTGCAGCTGCAGCGGCGTCCTCGCGAGACACTTACGTCCCGGCAGCTCCACGAGTGGTACGCTCAGTGTAGCAGGTCTACGCGTACAGTTCGCTGCCAGTACGTCATTCGCACAGGTGATCGGGTTGGTCAGCCTTGCGGGACGCTTGGTCACACACAGTCCCGCTGCTTCGCCCGTCTGAGCGACGACTGGCGTACAGTGTTTGGCGACGAGGCTGAGCTCCCCGACTGGCTGGAGCTGCTTGGACGGAGGGTAGATATCTTTGCTCCTGACTATGATGCTATTCTCACTGCCATGTATGCATTGCCTACTAGTGTTGACCGTGCCTGTTACCTGTGCGTCCCGCCTGACCCTGGTATAGCGCCTGCTGCTCCCGGTACTGGTGAGGCTGCTGCCCTAGGTGCTCGTGCGTCTCCTCCTCTGGGTACTGGTGAGGCTGCTGCTCTAGGTGCCGGTACGTCTCCTGCTCCAGGTGCTGGTGAGTCTGCTCTCTCTGGGTCTGCGCCTGCTGCGGCCTTGTACACCTTCACGCTTGACTCAGGTGCTTCCCGCTCCTTCTTTCGCGACTGTACCACACTCACGCCGCTTAGTCGGCCGGTTCCAGTCTCCCTGGCGGACCCCTCCGGGGGTCCGGTCCTTGCCCACTACTCCACGGTTCTACCGTGTCCGGCCGCCCCGTCTGGCTTGCTGTCAGGTCTTTACCTCCCCTCGTTCTCTACGAACTTGGTGAGTGGAGCTGACCTCCAGGATAGGGGGGTGCACCAGTTCACTCCTGCGAGTCAGCGAGTGACTCACTGTACGTGTGCTCGGACCGGCCGACACCTGGCCACGTTTTCCCGTGCGCCTGGCTCGAGTCTGTACACCCTGACCACTGAGTCCCCTCAGGTAGCTGCGTCTGCGTCTGCGTCAGGTCAGCCGACGGCCCCCTGCGAGTGTCGCGCTTTGTCGCACCAGACCCTCCTGTGGCACCACCGCCTTGGTCACCCCTCGGTGCAGCGCCTTCGTGGCATGCACTCTCGCTTCCTGGTTTCTGGTCTTCCCAGGTCTTTGCCTGCCCTGCCTCCCTCGCTTGCGCCGCCCTGCATTCCTTGCGTCGAGGGGCGGCAGCGCGCCGCTCCTCACTCCTCCTCGTTCCCTCCCACAGAGGCTCCCCTGCAGACTCTCCACCTGGACGTGTGGGGCCCCGCCCGCGTCCGTGGACAGGGCCACGAGCGGTACTTCCTGCTGGTTGTTGACGACTACACGCGTTACACCACGGTCTTTCCCCTGCGCAGCAAGGGGGAGGTCCCTGCTGTTTTGATCCCTTGGATCCGCGCTGCCCGTCTCCAGCTCCGCGAGCGGTTTGGGACGGAGTTTCCCGTCCTGCGTCTGCACTCTGACAGAGGTGGTGAGTTCTCCTCAGACCTCTTGGCAGCCTTCTGTGCGGAGCACGGCATCACCCAGTCGTTCACGCTTCCGGACTCTCCGCAGCAGAATGGGGTTGCTGAGCGCCGCATTGGCTTAGTCATGGAGGTCGCTCGTACCTCCATGATCCATGCGGCTGCCCCCCATTTTCTGTGGCCGTTTGCGGTCCGGTACGCCGCGCATCAGCTCAACCTCTGGCCCCGTGTCTCCTTGCCGGAGACCTCGCCCACACTGCTGTGGACGGGGAAGGTTGGCGATGCGTCGCGTTTCCGGGTCTGGGGTGCTCGTGCCTTTGTCCGCGATACCACCGCGGACAAGCTCTCCGCCCGTGCAGTTCCCTGTGTCTTCCTTGGCTTTGTCCCTGACGCGCCTGGTTGGCAATTTTACCACCCCACCTCGCGCCGTGTCTTTGCGTCTCAGGACGTCACGTTCGATGAGTCGGTTCCCTTTTACCGTCTCTTCCCCTACCGCACTGCCCCTCTCCCTCCCCCGCCGCTCTTCCTCGCTCCGGGTGCTCCCCAGGTAGACCCCCTCCCCGCTCCCGGTCCTGCTCCTTCAGGTGTGTCTCAGGTAGACCCTCCTCCCTTCCCTGCGCCGGTCGAGGTCACTGGTGACTCAGGTCCTACTGGGGGTGGTCCTGCTCGGGGTGCTACTTCTGGGGGTGCTGAGCCTGGGGGTGCGGAGCTTGAGAGTGTGGAGCCTGGAGGTGCTGAGCCTGCGTGTGAGGGGTCTGGAGGTGCTGGAGCTAGTGGTTCTGGGGCTGCTGAGGGTGCGGGCGCTGGAGGTTCTGGAGCTGCTGGAGGTCCTGGTGCTGGTGGCGCTGGAGCTGGTGGTTCTGGGGCTGCTGAGGGTGCGAGCGCTGGAGGTTCTGGAGCTGCTGGAGGTCCTGGTGCTGGTGGCGCTGGAGCTGCTGAGGGTGCTGGCGCTGAGGGTTCAGAGTCTGCTGTTGTGCGGTCTCCTTGGAGTAGCCGCCTTCGTCCACGTGTGCCTCTCACCTCACAGCAGCTGCACGACTGGTACGGTCGCCGTCAGGGTCGCGCTGCTGGAGCCCGGGGCTCTACTGCTGGAGGTACTTCTGCTGACGTCCCTGGAGCTAGGAGTGGTGCTGGTACTTTGTCTACTGGAGGTGCTGGAGTCGCTGGTCCCGGAGGTGCTCGTATT